TAAATTTCATTGCATACAAAATCCATTTTACATTTTCATTTGCATATAAAATTCATTTAACATGATATTCACTTGACAGAAAATGCATTTAACATGAAATTCACTTGATATAAATTGCATTTAACATGAAATTTATTTTACATAAATTTCATTTAACATGTAAAGATCTATTGACACAAAACTCATTTGACATAAATTTCATTTAACATAAATTTTATTGCATATAAAATTCATTTTACATAAATTTCATTTAACATGAAATTCATTTAACATCAATTTTATTACATATAAAATTCATTTGGCGTAAATTTCATTGCATATCAAATTCATTGGACATAAAGATCAATTGACATAAAATGCATTTGACATAAATTTCATATAACATGAAATTCATTTGACATAAAAATTAATGCGCGAATTTTAAAATTGTCAAATCCCAATTTCCTGATAATATCAAATTATAGCTACTTTTAGAATTCGCTTAATTTTTTTTTTAAAAAAAGATTTATATTTATTTATTAACAAAAATCTGTTTTCAAAAGGTGTCGAAGACGATTAGGATTAAAACATGGATTAATAGTTTTATGCCTTGTAGTCTTTGTTAATTTATCAGAGGCACAAAATTATAATTCACAATATAGTAAGTGTTTTTTTTACCAAAATATAATTAATATTCTATATTTATTAACATCAACTTTAAAACTTTCCTGTGTGTTAATAAACAGAGTGTTAATTTTTAAAATATTTTTACTTTTCTTATAGAATTATTATTAAGGAATTATTTTTAAAACTTTCTACATCATTTTTTAGATTTCAATTTAAATTTATCTCCGTATCCATTATCAAAGACTATCAATGGAAGCATTCCAGAAATAAATGGTGTTCAAAAAATATCAGATGATACAACTAAGTATTGCATTAAACCTGAATGCATTCACACAGGTTAGTATATTCATTTTTAAAAACTATTTCTAATATTTACATAATTTTTTTTTTTTATTATTTATAATTATGTCATAAATGTTTTCTAAAATAAGAACTAGAACAAGTGTATTTAAAATCAAATTTTACTGAAAACGATTCATTTACAGCATCAAGAGTAATGAATTATATGGATGAAAGTTTAGACCCTTGTGACAATTTTTATAAATTCGCCTGTGGTCAATACATGAGAAAACAAGTACTTTCTAATGACAATATTTTTATAAAGAACAATTTTATTTCTATCGATAAGGAAATTAAACAAAAGATGAAAAATATTCTAGAACAAGATTTAAAACCTACTGATGCAAAATATGTGAAATTAATTAAAACATTTTACCACAACTGTATGAATACAAGTAAGTAATATTTCACATTATTATTATTTTAATCGACTTTTGATAATTTTTTTTTAAAAATATTTATACCGATAAATAATTTATATAACTTTTTCGTCGTATTCTAATTTTTAATTTATATTTTCCGTACATATAAAGCATTTGACGAGAAAGAATTAAATTCAAAAGTGACCGTTGATCTTATAACAAAAATTAATGGATGGAGCTATTTAAAAAAAAGTCATATGAAAAATGAGAGTTTCCATTGGGAAAAATATCAGTTGAAAATAATAAAAGAGTCTAGTATCTTAAGCACAGCTTTTTTTAAGGTGAACCTTATATTGGATACGAAAAATAATTCAAATATTGTTCTTAGGGTATGTATATGAAAATATTTTCTTATAGCAGATAAAATTAATTTTTTAAAAATTAATTTTCAAGTGCAAGACATAAAAATTTATGTTAGAAAATAATTAAGCTCTTATTTTAGCTTGAACAACCTTCGGATCTTACTGCGTCTATCAGTGATTTTAGTGGACTAAAATACTTTCTTCCTGAACTTATAAAACGCAAAGTACCATTTGAAGATGTAATCAAAAAAATTAATGAAATAGACAGTATGCTCATTAATGTAAGTATATTAATTTTTAAGATGAGTTCTGAATCTATTTTTATTTAGATTTTTAGTTCTTGTTTTAAAATTAGAATTAAAAAAAAAAAATTTTTGTTTTTTTAATTTTTACTTTTAACTATTAAGAAATAATTTAATTCTTATTTTACAGATGTCTATTCCCGAAAACGACAGACAATCGCATATTTACGATAGAATCACTGTTAAAGAACTTGAGGGAAACTATTCGAATATTTTATGGAGGGAAATTTTTAATGGAATATTACAACCATCGACGGAAGTTAGAGATGACGATATTGTACTGGTTTCAGATAGCAGTTTCTTTAAAAAATTTAACGAACATATTAATAACATTTCAAAAAGAGATCAGGCAATGTATGTAATATGGACATTCGTTAAGGATATTCTCAATGACAATTCTGAAGTGAATCTCTCTGAAATCAAGGAAAAGTGGGGGAAATGTTTTATATTAACGAGAAAAGTATTCTTGTCTAATTTAGGTACTCTTTATGTCAAAAACTACGTTAATGAAGAATCTTATAACAAACATGTTGAGGAATTGATGAATAATATTTTCCATCAATTCTATATCATCATTAAAAATGTAAGAACAGTATTGAAAAATCTGCCATTGATATTGGTGTATAGAAACATTAATAATAATAAAAAAAAAAGTTTCAATGTCAGATTTTTAAATTGTTTAAATTCACTTTTATTCAGGTGGATTGGTTGGACCAGAAGACAAAGGACTATGCTCTAGAGAAACTTTCCTTACTCCATGCTGAACGACAAAGCAATTTCCAAATTTCTGATGACAATGAAATTGATGAATTTTTCAAAGACTTGGAAATTACTGCAGACGATTTTGACCAATCTATTTTGAATATTACGAAATTTGAGCATAAATTACTAAGTAGTTCGTTTAGGGTACCTGTAAATAGGTCCAGCATGTTGTTTCGGGAGGATGCAACACATGTAAATGCATTCAATGTTATCAACAAGAATAGTTTTAGTATGTTAATTATACTGTTAAATTTTTTTAAAAATAATTATCACTGTTAATTTTTTTTTTTTTTTTTTTTAATAAATATGAAAATAAAATTTTTCCCTTAATTTAGGTATACCACCAGGAATTTTTCAAGGAATATTCTTCAATGAAAGCAGACCAATGTACATGAATTATGGTGCAATTGGAAGTATTGTTGGTCATGAATTTACACATGGTTTTGACTCTCAGGGTAAACATTATGATAAAAATGGAAATTTAAACGATTGGTGGGAGCCTACGTCTCAAAAACAATTTGCAACAAAAGCACAATGTTTTATTTCTCAATATGGAAACTATACAGTTGAAGATGTTAATTTGAATGTTAGTATAAAAGAATCTACTTTTTTAAAAAAAAGTCTACTTTTTTTTATTTAATTTTTAACGGTTAATTTTTTAATTGTAATCTTAAAATTTATCTTATTTTTCGGTGTCATTTTTAATTTTCTATTTCTTCATATCTCTAGGTAAATGGCATAAAAACACAAGATGAAAATATTGCCGATAATGTAGGATTAAAAATAGCATATTTAGCTTATCAAAAATGGGTGAAGGATCATAGCTCAGAGCAAATGTTACCTGGTTTGAATTATACGCAGTCTCAACTTTTTTGGATTAGTTTTGCACAAGGCTACTGCGAGAAGGTAACTCCAAAAGTTCAAAAATTATTACTCAATCAAGATGTTCACAGTCCAAAGGAATTTCGAGTAATAGGTTCCCTAGCGAACCGTCCAGAATTTGCAAAAGATTTTCAATGTCCTCTGGGTTCAAAAATGAATCCTAAAACAAAGTGTTCTGTTTATTAAATTTTTATATGCTTTTTCTTAAAGATTTTTGAAGATTTTTGATGATTTTTTGATGACTTTTGATGATTATAGAAGATTTATTGATGATTTTTAAAGATTTTTAAAAATATTTGATAATTTTGGGAGATTTTTTATAATTTTTTGAAAATTTTTTATGATTTTCAATGACTTTTGATGATTTTAGAAGATTTTTTAAAGATTTTTAGAGATTTTTTATGATTTTAGAAGATTTTTAATGATTTTTGATAATTTAAAAAGATTTTTTTGCTGATTTTTAAAGATTTTTGAAAATATTTGATGAATTTTAATGATTTTTGAAGTTTTTTAAAAATATTTGATGATTTTTAGAGATTTTTGATGATTTTAGAAAATTTTTTGAATAGCTTTGAATATATTTGAAGATTTTTGATGATTTTAGAAGATTATTTGATGATTTTTGAAAATAATTCATGATTTTTGGAAATTTTTGATGATTTTAGAAGATTTTTAAAAATTTTTTGAAGATTTTTGATGATTTTTTAAATAATTTTGAAAAGTTTTAAAGATTTTTTATGATTTTAGAAGATTATTTGATGATTTTTTAAAGATTTTTAAAAATATTTGAAGATTTTTGATGACTTTTAATGATTTTTAAAAGATTTTTAAAGAGTTTTGAAGATTTTTGAATATTTTTGATGGTTTTAGAAGATTTTTTATAATTTTTTGAAGATTTTTGATGATTTTAGAAGATTATTTGATGATTTTTGAAGATTTTTGAAAATATTTGATGATTTTTGAAGATTTTTGATGATTTTAGAAGATTTTTTGATGATTTTTGATGGCTTTTGATGATTTTTAAAATATTTTTGAAAAGTTTTGAAGATTTTTTAAGATTTTAGAAGATTATTTGATGATTTTTGAAGATTTTTGAAAATATTTGATGATTTTTGATGATTTTTGAAGATTTTTGATAATATTTGATGATTTTTGATAGTTTCTGATGATTTTTGGAGATTTTTGATGATTTTAGAAGATTTTTGATGACATGATGATTTTTAAAATATTTTTGAAGATTTTGGAAAATATTTGATGATTTTTGGAGATTTTTGATGATTTTAGAAGATTATTATATTTTTGAAGATTTTTGAAAATATTTGACCATTTTTGGTGATTTTTGATGATTTTTTTGTAAGGGTAGGAAACTGTCATGTAAATAAATGAGATATTTTAGAAAGTATGGAGTAAATTTATTTCTTTTTAATTCAAACCTTTTGTCGCTTTTTGACGTTATCGTTTAAAATTTTATTGCTCTGTCAAGTATTTTTAGCGAAAATAAATTTTCAAAACCATATTGTGAACAACGAATTACATAGAATGTGCGGTTTCTTATAATTACTTTTTTTTGCAAAAATATCCTTTCTACTTTTACTTATTTTTTAAACATAAACTAATAATTTTTTTATACAAAATTCGATGAATTTAAAATTGAAAAAAATTTTCTAATAAACACTTTTAATACATATAATACATCAGACATTACATTATATAAGATAAAAATTAATTTTATAACTACAGTCGTTTTCTATTTATATAAATCTTAACTAATTCCTTAAATTATCTCAATTTGGTAGATTTTCGATTGTCTAAATCTCTAAATTAACTACTTATTTAACAAAAACATACTTTAGCAATTATATAATTTTCACATGAAGTACGATTTCAATTTGGAGTGGCCTAATTTTTCCTTATTTACCCTCGATTGTAATAATAATTGCAATGTTGAAAAAGTAAATTTTGATAAATATTACAATTGTGATTTTTAAAAAAATTTTCGAATTTTATTAATTATCTCTTAGCCAAACTTTCATTGGAACTTTAGTAAAGGCTGTATTTAAAAACGATTGAAAATGCTTTGCAATACTTGATCTTGCTGCTGGTTTCATTTCATCGATTATTTCTTTAGCATTTTCATTTAGAAATTTATTCATTGCTTGGCCGAATACATTATTGATTTTTAACTGATCCACCACATTGAATGCGGCTGTGTCTAAATTAAAGTCAACCAGCAGACGTGCTATCCTCATGTAACTAATTCCATCCCTTATTTCTTCGACACCTTGTACTTTGGCGAGGGCTACAACATCACCTGTAATAAAAAAAATAATAAATTTTCATTATCTACAAGAATTTAGCATTTTAAATTACATTAAATTTAAAAAAAAAATTTTTTTATTGTATTTTAAAATTTAGTCGTTTATTATAGAAAAAAACTTGTTGAAAAAGGCATTTGCTTTTCCAAATGGTGTTTCCCCCCTTAAATAGATATTTAAAGCAAGAATAAATTTACTTCTATTAAAGAGAATGATCAATCAACATCTATCTATATAAGGCGTTTGCGATTAATTTTAAACCAATGAAAAAACGATCAAATTGATCTAAATTACTAATCGTATTGATGGGCTGATTTAAGTAGAAAATTTTTTCTTCCCTAACAAAGGAAAGTAGGCCCAGTGCTGCCAAATGATTAAAACGACAAATCTTTAAACTTTTCTTTTCTATCTTCAGAAATCTTTAAACTAAACAAAAAAATTTTTTGGTTATAATTCTCGCAAAAAATATTATTATTTATAAAAAGAATTAAATTCTTCCAAAAAAATGTTATGAAAATAATTTAAAATTCTTAATGAAGAAAGATGAATTAAATTTTTTTGGGGGGGCCACTGTTTTATATTTTTAAAATAACATTTATGTATAGAAATGAATGCTTAATTGCTGAATGGCGCGGTGACATGTTTTTTATAATACACAGGACAGGATATAGAGAGATTGTTGACCATACTGATAGTACTTAATGTCAAATCAATCTCGGGTTGATTGACAATTTACTATTGAGTGCATACATAACATGATTTCTTTTAATTTATTTTTAATTTCATTATCTCGTTGACTTCAAATATAAATGAAGAATTATTAACTTAATCATCATGATTGGAATTGGAAGTTAAATATATAATCATTTTTAATTAATTAATAAAATACATATTAAAAAGTCCTGGGGAATAAATTTTTTTCTTCGATTTTAAAAAAAATTGTGTATTTTGCAAAAAAAAACAGAATTTTTCATCTAATCGTTTGTAATAAAAAATACTCTTTAAAACTGATAATAACATTTTTTTTTAAATTCATTCAACTCTGGCAGTTTTTTTTTATTGACCCCAGTGTTAAAATTCATATTTTTACGTAAATTTAAAACCATTCTTACCGAAAGAAGCCCAAAAGTCGCCTTCACTTTGAATGGGAAATAGAAGGACATTTCCAACCACCTTATAATGTCCTTGCAAGTCAATCTTTGGAATTTTTAAATGAAGATCGAGTCTCAACGTTGTTATGTTTACTCGAACTTTTGTGATGGAATAATTTCCAGGTCCAAAGGCTGTAATATTGGAAAATAGAGCATGTACTCGAACTGCACCCTGATCATTTTTCATTCCCAATTCTGGAATAGTTAACGGCTCGATTGGTGGCAAATCCAAGTCTGATATTCCTGAAAAAATAAATTAGAAAGTAAAATTTTTCATTTCTATCAAAATATTTATTGTTCGTGGCATATGAATGTTTTTTTTTCTTACGTCATGAACTAATTTTGATAGAAATGACACGATTTTTCAAAATTCAAAGATATTTGAATGTTTTTAATGTTTAAATAATGTTGATGAAAAAAAAAAAAAATTTACACTTTTTTTTTAAACTATATATTACTTAAAATTAATACTTACCTTTTACAAGATATGGTCTTAAATGATTGAACGATTTTTGAATGCAAACATCCAGCTTTACGTCAGATTTATTGCATGGAAGAATGTACTCCGCTGCAATCAGAAAAGCAAAAATTAAATATAATATAATAATAATATTAAAAGTGATTAAAAATTTAATAATTAAGTGAACAAAAATAAAATAATTAATTGTGAACAAAAATCAAAAATAATGATTTGTGTTTAACTTCAAAATGTGTTAAAGATAGTGTTAAAGTGAATAAAAAAAAAAAAAAAAAAAATTAAAAAATTATTGTATTTAAGTGAACAAAAATGAAATAATTAATTGTAAACAAAAATAAAACAATGTTTCGTGTTTAAATTAAAAATGTGTTAAAGTGAATAAAAACAAATATAAAAAAATAAAAAACAATGTTTCGTGTTTAAATTAAAAATATCTTTAAATGATTCTTTTTTAGTATAACAGAATAAATGAATAAACCCACTATATAATGTTATAAAGAATAAAATACTATACTATTATTTTTTTAACACGATAATTGAAAAATTTAATTAATACTCCACGATTATATTAAATGCGCATATGATATTTAATAAAGGATATTTTTTTTTATCAATTAGGTGACATTATAAATTGTTGGACTTCCGTCAGGGCAATTTGTTTTCAAGGTAAACAGATTTTAAAATACCTGATCACTGAAAAAAAAAAATCTGATTCAATTAATTTAATAAAAATGAAAACTGGATAACATTTTTTTTTTTGGTAATTCTTATACTTACGGAAAGTGTTCTTTAATTTTTTTCTTTCAATAAAAAATAGTAAAAGAATTCATAATTTAACATATTGTTACTTTATAAAATCGTGATAAATTGATTTAATCCGTGTGAATTACAAAGTGGAAAAATCTTGCGACTTGTATAATTTAATGTAATGAAAAAAAGAGTTAATTAAATACAAGAGACTGAGAGTAAAAAATTTTTGAAACTTTGTCATAATCTTTGTTTACAATCTATTACACTGTTTTACTAAAAAAAAACATGGAATTTTTCAATTTTCACATTTTGAATAAAAAAAAATTTCACAACTTTAAATAAAAATTTTATAAAGCAAATTAGATGTAATGTAAAAAATGCATTACAAATGAAAAAATCAATACTAATTTTCCAGTTAGAAATCCTTTTGAAAATTTCAATTTTACAATCATTTATTTAAAAAATACCAGCCATATTGGATCCGCCATTTTGAATTTTCAAAATCTGATCTTAAGTTCGTTTTCAGACTCAAAAATCATGTCAGAATGTATGGCATATAAAATTAAAGAAGAATTCTCTTTACTTTAGTTGCAATTTATTTTTTTAAGTAGTAAAAATTTACAAATATGAATTATTTGAATACAAAAATTTTTTGCATCGTTTATTTTAGTTTCAAAAGAAGAATAATTTAATAAATGCAGTTAAAATAAATTTCAACTTAAAATAAATAAAATAAATAAAAATTGACCGCATGAACACTGTATGCATAATATAATGTAATGATTGTAATGCGTCTTAAGTGGTTGAATGAAAAGAGCAATAATAACACGAATAAATGAACACAGGAAATAAATCAAGTGACCACCGTAGCAAAGCATAAACACAAATTAAACTACAATTTTGACTGACATGTGAACAACTTAAGATTTATTTTTATAATTAAAAATAATTATATATTAATAATTGCAGTCATCAGATTTTTTAATTTTTTTCATCGACGAGGTCATCGATATGGGCATCGAAAGTATATTTAAAATAACACAAAAATATTTTAAACAGAATTATTTTCTTAAATATTAAAAAAAAAAATTTTTTTAATATTAAAAATAATTTTTTTTAAATATTAAAAAAAAATTATTTTATTTTCTTAATTGAAAGTGATAAAAAAAACGACGCTGCGTCAATGTAGTTGAACCTAGATTTGCAAGTTTGAAATCGCAGATACTTATAGTCAAGTTGCAACCATCACTCACAATACTATTTCTTTCTGTTTCATATTTTAACGAATTTATATTCATGAAATTTTTATGGTCGAATGAATCCTATAATCTATTCCATTTTGCATACTTTAAAAAAAAACGTGATTTTTTTCGACACTTGTATACATTTATATTGAAATGTTTAAAAATTTATTCTACATTTTTCTGCTTTAATTATTGTATAAAAAGTTTTTATATCAATTAATTCAAATAAAAACAATTCTTTTATAACTCTTTTTTATCTCTTTTTTAAAGAAACATTATAAGTTTTAAAAAAATTTTTTTTAAAAAAACCAATGACGACTTTAATTCTTTTTAAACTAAATTACAAAATTTTTGATAATAAATTTTTATTTTAAAATAGAATAATCGAAAAATTTAATTGAAAACAATTAAAAATTTCGTTAAATTTTATTAAAAGAAATTTTATATTTTAAAGAAATTATTATTATTTTTAAAAATAATCTTGCGCAAAGAATATTTAAAATTGGGAAAAAATTATTTAAAATTAATTAAATGTCAACTTAAAAAACAAAAAAAAAAGCAAAACATAGGTACGAGAAAATGAATCATTTTAAATGTGGACAGAATATATGAATTATTCCGTGTGGTAAAACCAAACTTGGAAAATCCCAATCTGCTTTGGATTGCTTCGGATTTCTTCAAAAATTTAATTACTTTTTTCATATTTTTCAAAAATTCAATTATTTCCAAAAGATTTTACGAAAATTTAAATTATTTATTTTCAAAGGGTTTTACCATAAATTTCAATTGTTTGGAAATTTTTCAATTTTATATAATTGGAACACAAATTTTTAGAAATTAAAAATTAATAAATATATTAGCTTTCAACAATTATTTTTAAATATTTAAAAAAAAAATTAATTTCATGAAATTCCTTATGATTTTACCGAAATAGCAGTTATTTTTTAAAAGATTTTACAAAATTTATTGTAAAATCTTTTTAAAAATAACTGCTATTTCGGTAAAAATTTAAATTATTTTTTAATAATTTTATCATATTTTAATTATTTGAAAATTTTTCAATTGTATTATAATTTATAATTAAAGAGAAAATTTTGGAAATGAAACGCAGATAAATAATTATCTTTCAAAAATAATTAAAATTTGGTAAAATTATAAGCAAATTCATAAAATTATTTTTCAAAAATTATTTTAAAATACTTTTTAAAAAAATTAATCTTATGAATTCTCTTATAATTTAACCAAATTTCAATTATTTTTTAAAGTTTTTATCAGATTTCAATTTTTTTTAAAGATTTTATCATATTTTCGTTTTTAAAATTTTTTTCAAATATAATTATTAATTAAGAAACTATTATTTTGAAAATTATTTAAAAATATTTTTATTTTAAATTAATTTCAACAATTTCTTTATTATAATTCTTTAAAAATATTGTACCTTACTAACTTTTACATATATAGTTACAGTTACAATTATTATAAAAAATTAAATTTTTGTATTTAAATATTTATAAATTCTCGAGGAACTTTCGGAAAATTATTATAGAAATATTTGCTCCAGAAATTTAGTTAAAGTTTAGTTGAAAATTGTGTAGAAAATAATTAAAGTTTAGAAAGGATTATATTTGTAAATTTTTAAAATTATTAAATTTGAAAAGGTTTTATTTAAAAAATTTTTTTTTTATCTATTAGCAAGTGAAACTTCAACAGAAGTTTATTCCAGCTGAACAATAGTTTACATACTTAGACACAATAACTGGTAAAAAATATATTGAAAGAAATAGAAACTGTTGGAATAATTTTTAATATACTGGAGTATAGCAAGAATTACCAGACTATCAATGTGTCATATAGTGCCCATACGCTATTAATCAAAATCAATGTCATTTTGGTCCATTTATATTTAAATAATTTAAAATCTGCATTTAATTATAACACTTTTTTGTCATGATATTCTATAAAAACAAAACAATCAAATTTTTTGTTCTACTTTTTTTTTTTTTTTTTTTTTTTTTTGTTCTTGTATTTCATAATTTATATTTGGATTTTTTTCCTTTTCTTTAAACTTAAATTGCGTTATGGTTTATTATATAGTGAAACAGTAAATTTATGATGCATACAGTGTATAAGTTGAAAAATGCATAATTGTAAGAGATTGTGTACTATCAGTTTCAACTCTCACTGATTTTGTATATACACACATAAAAGAGGTTGTGTGTCTTATATACACTTTCACTGACTCATCTGTTTCATTGAGTGATGTGGATGAGAATGTGTCTTGGATAGCTCCAAAGTAGCACTCATATATATATATATATATATATATATATATGAAAGAAACTAATGCTTACTTTAAGTTCATAATACTTTCTCCAGCCAATTCAGCTGAGTAACTTATGCAATCTCTGACATAACCTTCGGCATACCAAGTTACGCCACATTTTCTATTATGCCTTATTCCTTTTTACTGGATTACCATGCCTCAAAATTACTTTACACAAATACACGATTCCATTATTGTTTTCAAATACCAATAGAAAAATTGTTTTTAAATCCCAAAAAAATAGTTTTTTCCCCATTTACAATGTTAATGAAAAAAAAAAAAAAAAATGGGTCTTTTATTATAAGAAAATATTTTAGAATTTAAAACTCATTGTTGATAATTATTTCCAAAAATGGTCAATTTTAACACACGTGATGAAAGGCTAAAAAACTACTGTCTTATTAAAAATTGTGCAATTTTTTGGTAATTGGCAATTAAATTAGAAAGGAAAATAAATAAAAAGAAAATATTTGATTATACGGTCTTTTATAATGAGGAAGACGGGTAATTTTCGAAACGACAAATTGAGTGTATAATAATATAAACAATTTGTTCGTGACTGAATGTCTTTTAAAACAATGTCCAGAAGAAGAAGAAGAAGATGATGACTATATTGTGTAAGAATTTACTTAATGAAAAGTTATTAACGAATTTTTATTTTCATGTCAAGTGTACTTTATAAAATTCTTCGAAAAAAACAATTACTTTTCTTTTCTATACTCAAAAAAAAAACCATTACTTGTCTTCCCTGTACCCAAAAATCATATTTTTGTTCTTTCTTCACCGAAAGAATAATTCTCTAAACCAGAGTTGAAAATATTGAAAAAATTTAAGACTAACTGAATATTTAATGATTTTAGACCGAAAATTCAGTTTAGATTCAATTTTCAGCAACAATTTAAAAAAAAAAATTTTTTTTTTTGAAAAGTGGGGTAAATTTTAAAAAAAGTAAATTTTTTATTACGTGTGTCAAAATTCGGTTCTCTCGATGTCTGATCAAACTTTGTTTGAGCCGTGATAATAGTTTGACCCACAGCACTTTGGTAGTATAATCCCAAAATGAGAATAATCATCATCCTCACTGGTAAACACATTTTAAATTTCAAAAATTGAATAAAATAAATAGTAAATAAAAGAAGTAAAATGGAAACAAATTATATCCAGTGTCTATAGAAGCAAATTCACGGAAAATTTTTAAATTTTCATTATTAAAAGAAAAAAGAAAACAGTCTCTTAATTATTTCTCACGAGCATTTTTGCAAATCACCGGATAATATTTTTTTGTTAAAATTAAGAAAGAAAAAGTGATAATTAATTGGAAAAGAATGAAACGCGATCTTAAATTAAACTAAAGTCGGATCAACTTTATTTCTGTCTTATATGCTAAAACCCCTTCTCTTTAGGTATTCTTTCGGTTGAAAAGGCGCAATACAACATCATTTCTTTCTTCATTTTTTTTATTATATAGAGAACGCGTGGTTATACTCTAAAATGATGAATGCTTCACATTTATGGGCGAGATATTTTATTTGGACGCAATTTTTGAAGGACATTTGTATCTTTTTTAGAATAGCAGAAAAAAATTTAGTTAGTTATATTCGTCACACTATTGTGATTATCAAGAATTATGTCTATAATGGAAGTGTGGATCAAATTAAGTTTGTACAAAAATTGAAGGTACAAAAAATAAATTGATGATAATTAAAAAAATAGAATATGTAAATAAAACTTCTACGATATTTTATTATTTTTTCATTTTTAGCTAAATCCAAAATATAAAGAACCATGAAAGGTAAAAATAGTTTTAAAAAAATAAAAAAAAATTTTTTTTTTAATTTAAAATTCTATATTTTGACTATGGTCTATAATTATCGAATCATGGCCAATGACAAAAATATTTAAAAACCCAAAAATTTCTCTATTTTGGTTAAAATCTTTCGAACCGTGGCCAACGACAAAAATATTTCATCAAAACCATTAAAATTTTAATATTTTAACTATGGTTAAAAACTAGCGATTTTTATTAGTTTAAAGATTATTATGAACATTATCTTATCAAAAGATTATCAATACAACTTTTAATAGAAATTTTAAAAAATTTTGAATTTATAAATTTAATTAAAAAATTAAATTAAATTTGTTAATTGATACACTATTTTCTAAAAAAAAAAAAATCAATTTATAATCATAAGAATTTTAATTAAATTAATTAAATTTATAAATATTAATTATACAATGTACAAGGTCTTAAAAAAACTCTTGTTTGTTTTTTGCCTTTTTAAATTATTTATAACTTTGCTAAAAAATTCAATTAGAATTTTTTTAAAATTTTAATTATTATTTGTTAAATATATATATCTAGTGCGAAAATAAATCGATTGGTGTATATAAACTATTTTACCACAGTATTTATAAAGTTAATCGATATTTTTATTTTTAAAAATAAAATTTTTTTATTTTTTCAAAATTTATTTTTAAAGAATTTAAAACAGATACTCTACAATTAAAAATATAAAAATATAGCAATTAGACTACAAACAAGAAAAAAGTTATAGTATAGTATAGTAAATTTTAAATAAATCAAGCGAATTTAAAAAAAACCGCCATATTGAATCCGCCATTTTAGATTTTGAATAATTATAGAATAATTATGAATATAATTTGACATTCGATTTTCATAATCTATTAATTATGAATAATTATGAATATAATTTGACATTCGATTTTCATATTCTAAAATGTCGGATTCAATATGGCGGTTTTTTTTGTCAAAATTCGCTTTTAAAATTCGGTGACGAAAAAAATTTCAAACTTCGGTTACGGATGTAACCAAAGATCGTAGGAAACTTAAAGTAAATAGTTTTCAAGCGAATCTAGTGAAAATTTAATAAAAATCGCTCCATATAAGATCCGCCATTTTGAAATTTAGAAATTTAAATTTTGAACGAAAACAAAATAATTAAAAAATTAGAAAATGTTACATAAGTATTAAAAATATTTTGAACTATTTGTAAAATGTAGATTCTCCTAACATCTTATAACAGTATTTTCAAAACCAATAATAAAATATTCGAACAATTAGAAAATAAATCGAGAAAAAATTACAAAAAAATTTTCTCGTATTTTTATGAACTAAGGTTCATAAACCAATTTGTATTTTTTAAAAAATAATTATTAAATAAGCATCACGATATGGCCTCTCGTATAATCACTTAGATCTCCATATAAGGCATGACCTTTGAATCAAGTTGTTATTTTTAAAATTAAAAAAATCTAAATTTGGATAACATACTGTGCTAATTTACGTATAATATAATATAGGTATATAATATATATTTCCAGGAAATTTGATGATATAATAAAGTCGGGAAACGAGAACAAAGAAAAAAAATTTTATGTTTATGATAATATGTAAATCTTTACTATAATGCGTCATTAACCTGTAACAGTCGAATTTGTTCTTTATAATGTAAAACAGTTTTTAAAAAGTGTTTAATTAATTTTCATGTGTATAAAGGGGGTTTTTTGTGTCAATTTGAAATTTTTAAAATTTGAATTCAAACGTCTTTTTTCACAAATTTTTATCTTCTGGTTCTACCAGCTACGACTTGGGTTCATAAAGATTAAAAGTACTATAATAATAAATGTTTTGGTACAACAAAATAGTTTTTTAATTAATTTTTTTTTCATTGTTTAAACAAATATCAGTTTATTTTTTTAGATATAATTAAAAAATAATTAATTATTTATTCCATTAGTTATAGACATCAAAAAGTATAAATTTTCAGTAATTAATTTCTCGGATATAAAAGTTTATTGGGTTATAATTTTATTAAATTTTTCGATATTCAGGATCACCGGGCCATGGACCATTTGGTCCGGGAGATCCAGTTGGCCATGGACCACGTGGTATTTCAGTCGTTGTTGTTGGTCTTTCTGTTTTTACCGTAACTTCAAGATCCTTATGTAGTTTCCTGGGTACTGGAGAAAAATCTGTAAAACAATGTTTTATTAATTTAAATATTTTATCAAAGATTAAACTTAGAAAAATTTATTTTATTCACTAATGACCAAATTAAAAAAAAAAAAAAAAAAAAAAAAAAAAAAAAACTTTTTTTTTAAATCTTGATTTATAGAATTTAGGTTTTACAGACTCGAGTAGTGTCACAGACTTGCAACATTCATAGAACACAACGTGTAAAAACTGTGGGTTCCTATTTTTTTTTTTTTTTTTTTCAGTATTAGATTTCGTTTTTCTTAACAAAAAATCTTGATAAAATTTAGGTTCTAAAGACTCGAGTAGTCACAGGACTTGCAACTTTGATACAACAAAACGTGAAAAATTTGTAGGTTCCTAAAAAAATTTTTTTTTTTTTGACACAATAGAGATTTTTTTTCAACATTTCGATAAATTTCGAATGTTCTACTTAAATACCTGTATAGTTTTCACAATTCGATGGAAAATGTAAATTTTCCCAAGAAGTTGGTGTTCCTTGTTGAGGATTGAATGGTTGCTCTTTGTTTGCCGAAGGTAAATCATCATAAAGCACATTAACTTCTCCTCTAGGATGTATCACTCGATATCCCCAACTATCACTAATATAGAAAATTACTGTAAAATTTCCATGGGCATTGATGTAACCATAACAACCATAAGTTATTCCTTTAATGTCTTTAACTTGATGGTGAAACTGATTGTGGAAATTTACATTGTATCCATAATTAAAAGTATCTGCATAATATATTTATATTAAAATGATATTTAATTTATATTAAAATAATATTTAATCCATAAAGGACGATTTTACTCACCCCGATTAAAATTTTGATTTAAATATTGTTCTTTTTGTGAATCTTTAATAAGTTCAATCGATTCATTTATATCCTCTTCTTCTGCTATTTTTACATTTAAAGCAAATATCTGAAACTAATTAACAATTTCTAAGAAAATTTATTTTTAATTTATTTTTGAATAAGTGTCAAATGATCACTCCACCCATTACACTTCACTTACATTCCTTATGGAATGTAAAAATTTCACTAAAACTACATCTTAAAAAAATATTAAAATTATTTTCTACTTGTGATTCTTAATTTTCATAAATATTAAATCCAATGTCGTTAAATTTAAAGTAGAATTAATTATTTTTCCCTTAATTTCTTATGCGAATAATTAAAGACTTCGAAGCACCGATAAAATTTTTACAACTTCTATTAAACTTGACAAAATTAAAAATTCTGAATATTTACAAATTAAAAAACAAAATTTTTTTACATACCATTGCAAAAAACACCATAAACAGATGTAAAAGCATTATTAAACTTATTGTTAATTATAACTATTTTTTATAATTGTAAAATTTTTAAAAATTACGTATTCACCAGTCAAGAGGCGACTTGAGGACTAAAGTTATGAATAAATATATATTAGATTTTATGCTAACAGGATTCAGCATTTATATTAACGATTTATTTCGCACTGTACTTCGACCTTTTCTCGCACTCGTCCTCTTAGTTTCCTTTATTTCAATATGACTCATTAAACACATATACTAAATCTTTATATAAAGATTACACTAATTGAAGATACAATTATTTTTTTTTTTTGTTCAATTAATTTATAGGCATCATTTTATCAATATAAATATATCTACTAGTAAAAATAATTAAATAAATTTTATGTACACACAATTTGTTATGATAAGTATGCGGGTAGTTAATTTTCAAGTTCAAGGTTCTGTTGTTACAAAACTAATAAACGTGCTAAATTAGAAATTAATATTGCGTATTCCAAGAGAGACATAAGTTAAATTTTTTTTTTCGTTGTTTTTTACAGAGAAAAATGTGACTAATAAAATAGTTTTATCAGAAGTAAGGAGTGTCTGTGTTAGAAAAATATATTTACTGGAAAATCATCTTCTTAAAAGTCTTGATAAATTTAAATAATATAAACTAGTTTAAGCATTATGCAAAAAAGATTTCTGATATGGAAAAATATTGCATATGGATGTTATCTTATTTTAATGTTTAGATAATGTTTAATGTTTTATATTAGCGAGAAAATAAGTTATCAGATGTACTGGAAATTTTATTTTCATGAAATAATCAACTGATGCGTGAAATCTATGGCTGTATTTTTGGAACAGAAAGTTGGAAAGTATTTGAAATAATCAAAAATTAGATTTACAAGAAGTCTTCAATTTTTTAATAGAATTAGGCAGTATATTTGTATAATTGTACAAGTTTATTATAAGGAACATAAAATAACAATTGACGTTATGACATAAAAGTTCAAAAACAAATTATTCGTTAAATATTATTTTGTAATTAACTCTTTACATAAATTAAAATCTTCATCTTTACAATAACTGTAAATGATAACGCAGGCCTTTAATATTCCTTAATTTTTTAAATATTCTTAAATATTCTTAAATATTCTTAAAGTTCTGAAATATTATCTAAAATTCATGAGAACTGTTTGATGACCAAGAGAGATTATCAAAATCATCTTCATAGTCCGAATCATCATAATCGTTTTCTTCGGGAAAAAAGTAATGATCAAAATCAGGTCTCAAGTGTTTTATACAAAGATCAACATTTATAAGCTGAAGAAAAGGTGAAACCTCTTTAACACTACCAACATCAATTCCTGAACTTCCAATAAATACTTTTAGAATAATTCCATTTGTTCGACTTTCAGTATATCTTATGGCGCAATCAATCCAATTATTCGTGACACAATTACATCCGGAAATGTCCAGTAATTCTAATTTAGTTGCCATAAACGCAAGAGTACATAAACCCATATCCTTAATATCCGGACAACCTCGGCATTCTAAAATTCTTAAACTTTGTAGATTTCCTAAATGCTGATCCGTTACTTTTCCCAGATAGCTTATTATTAATACTTCTAATTTTGGTAAAGTGACCAGACCTGCAATACCATTATCAGTAACTGCTTGACAACCTAAAAGAAAAAAGAAGCTGAGATTCTATTTCTATTTAAAAACAATTACTTTGGGAATAGTAGGTTACCATTAATATCAATTGATTTCAATTGTTTGCAGCATTCACTGACGACTAGTAAACAATCGTCCGTTACTGAAATATTCTGTCCAAGATTTAGTTTCTCTAAATTTACTAATTCGGCAAGATTCTTTAAGGCCTGCGATGATAGCATTGGAAAGTACCCGCTTAATTCCAAATTCTTCAGACTATTTGTACGTAAACGTAGTGCTTGCACTACACTATCGTTAAAACTCACGCAAGTTTGTAGCGTAAGTGAATGTAAATTATCAAATTTCTTTAAAGCCTGAAATTTATTTGTTTTTTTTTAATTAAAATAATGAATAGTGAAAATGAATAGTTTGCCAAATAATATCAACTTACATTTAAAAAGAAACATGGTGACACCATATTACATTCGGAGAGAATAATTTCCTGTATTGAATCCTTTGGCAGGTATGAAAGACATTTTCCAGTCAAACAATTAGAGCTAATTTTTAAATACTTCAATTCCTTGTTTTTAGTGAAAAGTTGTAGTAAATCGTTGTCACATGAATTTGAACATGAACCCAAGGACAATTTCGTGATATTTGAGCAATTTGCAGTTAGTGCAAGTATACCAGAGGATGATACGTTTAATGACGATAAGTCAATTGACTGGAGATTTGGACAAAATTTACTGACAATTGTTAAAGTACTCTGACTCAAACGATGTAGGGGTTGTGAAAAATCGATGTGATTCAAAAAGCGACCACATCGTAGTAATACTTTTCTCAGAGTTGGTGTATCGACATATTTCTTTTTATTTTTGATCGTGAAACCCCAAGTTGTTTGAGATAAATCTAAAGTTCGAAATCCACGCCATGCTTCTTGACATACTGCACGCCAACGTTGACAAACTAAAGAGGAAGTTAAAAATTTTCAAACAAATAGAATCCCAATTGATCCAACTCTCAGTTAACTTTACAACTAAGGAAGTGGATCAATTGAAAATTAAATTAAATTAAAAATTAGAACAATTAAAAAAACTAATTCTACTTTTCGTTAGGATGTTGATTTCTTACCACTTTCTATTTTAACTCTATCTACAATGGGAAGATAATGAAATATGTGAATTAGGCAATCATCATTTAGTCTATGAATTGGAATTGTATCATCTGTCACGTAACTTGTCTCTAAATTACTACTATCATCAGTTTCTTTTTCTTTCTTTTTAAAAGAATTTTTTTTTATATTCTCTATACTGTCGGGTTGATGCCAGGAATCTGCAGGCATTACCCTCAAATCCCGATTATGTAAATGAATTAATTTGTTATACCCATCTTCTCTAGCTCTGAAAGAAAATAAACTATTGAAAACTAGAAGAGAAAAAGCTTTGCTATTAAATGATAGCAGAACATCTTAAATTTCTTTAAGTTATTTAAGATATTCTTCGAAATATTATGTTCAAAATATTTAAGATATTGTTTAAGATATTTAGGATATTGTTTAAGATATTGTTGTAGATATTGTTCAAAATATTGTTTAAAATATTATTTAAGATATTGTTTAAGATATTGTAATAGATATTGTTCAAGATATTGTTTAAAATATTGTTTAAGACATTTAAGATATTGTTATAGATATTAAAGATATTGTTTAAGATATTTAAGATATTGTTATAGATATTGTTTAAGGTTGTGTTTAAGATACTTAAGGTATTTAAAATATTGTTTAAGACATTGTTTAAGAAATTTAAGATATTGTTATAGATATTGTTTAAGATTTTTATGATATTGTTTAAGATATTTACGATATTATTTAAGATATTGTTTAAGATATTTAAGATATTGTTATAGATATTGTTTAAGATATTTAAGATATTGTTATAGATATTGTTTAAGGTTGTGTTTAATATACTTAAGGTATTTAAGATATTGTTTAAGACATTGTTTAAGAAATTTATGATATTGTTATAGATATTTAAGATATTGTTTAAGATATTTAAGATATTGTTATAGATATTGTTTAAGGTTGTGTTTAAGATATTGTTTAAAATACTTAAGGTATTTAAGATATTGTTTAAGACATTGTTTAAGAAATTTAAGATATTGTTTAAGATATTTACGATATTATTTAAGATATTTAAGATATTGTTATAGATATTTAAGATATTGTTTAAGGTTGTGTTTAAGATATTGTTTAAAATACTTAAGGTATTTAAGATATTGTTTAAGATATTTACGATATTATTTAAGATATTTAAGATATTGTTTAAGATATTGTTATAGATATTTAAGATATTGTTATAGATATTGTTTAAGGTTGTGTTTAAGATACTTAAGGTATTTAACATATTGTTTAAGATATTGTTTAAGATATTGTTTAAGATATTTAAGATATTGTTATAGATATTTAAGATATTGTTTAAGATATTTAAGATATTGTTATAGATATTGTTTAAGGTTGTGTTTAAGATATTGTTTAAAATACTTAAGGTATTTAAGACATTGTTTAAGAAATTTAAGATATTGTTTAAGATTTTTATGATATTGTTTAAGATATTTACGATATTATTTAAGATATTTAAGATATTGTTTAATATATTTATGATAATGTTATAGATATTGTTTGAGATATTTAAGATATTGTTATAGATATTGTTTAAGATATTTGAGATATTGTTTAAGACATTGTTTAAGAAATTTAAGATATTGTTATAGATATTGTTTAAGATTTTACGATATTGTTTAAGATATTTACGATATTATTTAAGATATTTAAGATATTGTTATAGATTTTTAAGATATTGTTTAAAGTTGTGTTTAAGATATTGTTTAAGATACTTAAGGTATTTAAGATATTGTTTAAGACATTGTTTAAGATATTTAAGATATTGTTATAGATATTGTTAAAGATATTTAAGATATTGTTATAGATATTGTTTAAGGTTGTGTTTAAGATGTTGTTTAAGATACTTAAGGTATTTAAGATATTGTTAAAGACATTGTTTAAGAAATTTAAGATATTGTTATAGATATTTATGATATTGTTTAAGATATTTACGATATTATTTAAGATATTGTTTAAGATATTTAAGATATTGTTATAGATATTTAAGATATTGTTATAGATATTGTTTAAGATATTGTTTAAGGTTGTGTTTAAGATACTTAAGGTATTTAAGATATTGTTATAGATATTGTTTAAAATATTGTTTAATATACTTAAGATATTGTTTTAGTAATTAAAATATTGTTTAAGATATTTAAGATATTGTTTAAGATATTTAAGATATTGTTTAAGATATTTAAGATATTGTTTAAAATATTTAAGTTATTGTTTAAGACAGTTAAGATATTGTGTAAGATATTTAAAATATTGTTTAAGATATTTAAGATATTCTTTAAAATATTTAAGATATTCTTTAAGAAATTTAAGATATTCTTTAAGATACTTCTGTATGCAATGTAGCTTTTCAATTATTTTTATTCTTTGACAAAATTAAAGTACTTTCTATACTTTAAACATTGAATTAAAACCGGTTGGGTGTATAAAATTACATTTACCTTAAAGCATCTTCAACATTATTAAATGTTACAAAAGCGTATTTATTTTTGCTAACGTTCCTTTTCAGGTAACACCCATCTAATTTTCCATACTTGGAAAATATCTTTTCTAAATCTTTATGGGTTGTCTGAAAAAAATGCGCAATGATTATGAAAAAGCACCTAAACTTGGAGTATATTTCTTCACCCTTTTTTAGTGAAATATTTTATGACTTAAGGATAGGATATTTCAGAGTATGGACGTTTTTGCAACTTTTAAATCACCTTATATGGAGAACTTACAGGGCTCGAATCATAGTGAAAGTTTTTAAAAATACGGATGTATAATATAAAATAATTGAATTATTTAGAAGAAATTTATCAAAAAATTAGTAAATAATTTTGAATTCTTGTGAAATTTTTATTAATTTTTGAAAATAATAGAATTTTTGCGAAGAATTTTAATACATTTTGAAAATAATTGAATTTCCGAAATTATTTGTATGATGGTAAAAATGATATATGTAGAAGGAGAAAGATGTGTTTTTTAACTAATGAAACATTTTCATTCAATAAAAAATAATACTAACCCTTTGAGCTATGTTGCCAATAAATAGTTTCCGAATTGGAATTCCATCCTTAGTGAGTGAAAAAGCATCTTCGTTACTGGATAAGTCATAATCTGAAAAAGAAAATTCAATCGTGAATTTAGAATATTAAACGATGTAAGATCGTAATGATTGTAAAGATGATTGTTTTTAAAAATTCAAAATGGCGGATCCAACATGGCGGCTGAAAAAGATAAAAATCACTGCAACATTGGCAACATTGCAGCAAGTTTAAAAAAACGACTATTTTACATTTCGAACTTTTTTAATATTTTGAATTGTTAATCATGGAACATCTTAAGTTTTGAAGTTGCACTTAAGTTCATAGGAATTAATTTCATATTAACATTCAAAAATCGAAAAATTAAGTTCCTAATAAATTTTGTTGCTAAAATAAATAAATAAAATAATTTATTTTTAAGATGCCTTATTTTCTCAGAGAATGACTCTAATATGAAAAGTAGTTTTAGCATTTAAATTATAAAATGAATCTTATTTTAAAAATAAGAATTAATAAATTTTGGGTCTGCTGTTCTTCCGATAGGGTTATAGTTTTAGATCTGAATTTGTAATGTGTATCACCTTTAAATAATTTAGTAACACATGTAAACAAAGCTAAATATTATGTTCTAATTCAAACTCAACTTTTCATAGAAATAGTATATAGCATAATAAAAGAAAACAAAGAAACAATCTTTTGAGTGTCGAATCTTTAAATTATGAAAATATTTTTAAAAAAACTTACCGTCTTGTGATAGAATACTTAAACGATGAAGATAATCTAAATAATATTGTCCTGGCTTTCCTATATCTTCGTTCATTTTTTTTATTTCTCCTTTACGAGGGATTTTTGTAGTACATTATTTTTTTCTAAAACTAAATAGTAAATTCGTCATGAAGTATCTATCAACTATATTCAACTCTGACCTTTCTGACGGAAAAAAGTGTCTTTTCTAGTGAATTACACTTTGAGCTGCAAAATATTGTCACCAGGGCAGCGCTACACTACACGACTCCGATTCTTATTTTTTTATTCAAACTTTTTTTTTAATTATTTCATTCATCAATTTTTCCTAACTTATCGTAATTAAATTTTCCAAAAAAAAATATCGAACTTAATTTATTTTGAAAATTGTAAAACATTTAAAAACAAAACCATGACAATTTAAAAAAAAAAGCTTCTCTAAATAAATAATTTTTTAAAACTTTCGGAAAATTCTTCGAGAATTCAATTATTTAAATACAAAAATTCAATTTTTTATAATAATTGTAACTGTCCATGTTGAAAAAAATTATTATGGGTTTAAATATATTTTCAAAAAATTATAATAATGAAATGCTTAAAATTAATTTTTTTTAAATATTTTAAAATAATTTTTGAAAGTTTTTTAAATATAATTGAAAAATTTCCAATGACGAGAAATTTCGCTTTTTACAAAAATGAGTAATTTTAAAATTTTGTGATTAAAAATAACTTATCTTTATTATCATATGATTATTAACTTAAAATATAATTTCACATGTATAAACAAAGTAAATAGTACAGAATTAAATAATTTCAGACAAATGTAAACGAATAAAAATTTGTAGTTACAATTTTTTAATTTCGATTTTACATCAAAATTTACAAAATCAATCGATTTGCTTTTTAGGCATTGCTGCAATTTCAGCAACTGTGACTTTCGAATCCATTTGAATGAGTGTTTCAGAAATACTGTTAATTATAGAATTGTATTTATCAAATAACTCGTAAATTTCGCTATTCAATGCCTTTGATTCTTCATTCAATGGCAAATATTTAAGCGTCAAGCTATTTAATTTTTTCGCCAATTCAGGCGCTTCTTTCATACTTTCTATTTCAAGGGAGGGATTTAATTTTTCAATTTCTGTTAATAATCTCAAATTTTCCTTTATTTGCGACTCAGAAGCGAAAATATATTCTAATTTAGCGTCAATTTGCGAGCCACAATCTTCAAAATTTGGATCTAAATAATTAGTCAATTCCGGTAGTCGATTAATTAAAGCATTTGTACTCTCGCGGCCAGAAAGCGCTGACGATATAAATGTATTTACATTCAGTAGATTTTCAATAACTGGAGTTTCTGAAAATGTTTCCTCAGCTTCTGATAATGAAACATTTCCGTAAACTTGCTTTTCAACAGCTGCAACTCGTTCCTCTAATATTTGAAGACTATTCGACATTCTGAAATGAAATATTAGGAAATTTTTTTTTTATTTTGCAATTTCGATAAATTTAATAATGGGGGTCAAATTAAATTGAAATTAACATCGGTCTTTTTGTCGAAAATTGTTGATAAAATTCTTCAAATGACTAATTATTTTAAAATTTTTTGATAAAAGGTTTGTAAGAATTTAGTAGGTTTCAGTGCATTAATTTTAAAATTCAAAACATTTGAAAAAGAAAATATAAAAAAGTTAAGCAAACAAAAACTAACTTCAAACTGCAAACAGATTCAAACACAAAAATATTAATTTATTTCTTTGAAATTGCTTGTGAAATTTAATTTATAATATTTTAGAAAAAATTATAACCAAAATCTAAAGAAATTTTTTTTGACTAGTTTAAAGATTTCTGAAGATAAATTTGAAGATTTATTGTTTTAATCTGGCAGCACTGATTGTTCGAGAAATCGTGAAACAAAATTTCTTGTAAATTTGGAAAAGCTTTTGTCATTCTTGACAATATTTCTTACATAACCTATAATATTTCCATAGTGGACAAATAGACCCATATTAATAATGGTAAAGTTTGTCAAAGTCTTACAAATTTGACTCTTCGAAACCAGAAATATTAATTTTACTTCGTATTTCTTTAAAAAGATGGATTTTTGCAGCTGTCTCATTATTCGATTTGTTTAGATATTCAAAGAAAGCATTTAGAACGGGTACGAATTTGTAGCATTTACGGCTACGAGTTTAGAATCTCATTTTATTGCATTATATAACTATAATACAAATTTAATTAAGTTTGATAATAAATAAAAAAAATTTGTCATCGGTAGATGAAAAAAATGTTTTTTGAAAATATAATTTGTTGAGAAACTCACTTTCAAGAATACAAGTATTCACAGTTTGATTATTAATGCATAAAATACTTTTTATAGGAACAATCTTTTGGCAATTTTAATGCAAATGTTTAACGATTTGAATAGGTAATTATCCTGTGTATCTAATTCAATTCTTCAAATTCTAACAGGAATTCTGATTCCAAATAATTCTCAATCAAAACAACTTTTCTTTATGTCAAGCATAGAGTATTCGCTACCTAGATAGTACGACTCATAGTCTCTTACACTTAAAATATGTCGACCTTGAAGACTCTTGAAACGTATCAGTTTCTGTCCGCAGCGTCACTACTGTCACTAGGTTGGAAAAAGAAATTTTTTAAAGAAAAGTGTATAAACTGTATAAATTTATAAGTTTTAATAATAAATTTAATAAATTTCTTTATAAGTTTCTCGATATATATTTTTTCGTATATACTTTTAACCTATTTAAAAAAATAGGTTCTTTATTTACAAAAATGTTATTTATTTATTCTAACGAAATTATATTGTTATTGAATTATTTATTATTTATTTTTATTTATTCGTTTTATTTATTTTAATTATTAATTAATTTAATTATTAATTTATTTATTAAATTTCACTAAATAATTTGTTAAAGCTATTGAATATAAAATTCTTAATTAATTGATTTGGTTAATGAACAAAATAATTTTATCTTTAAAATTCAATACATGTTTTCAATCTTATTATATTATAATGAAATTAAAAAAAAATTGAAAAAAATATATTTTTTGAAAACTCCCGCCTTTTTTAGCCAAACTCATAGCTCTCTATTCTAAACAAGTGATCACTTTCGTAAACACTTCTATCGCTACGGACGACATTTTACTGTACTGAAAGTTTTCAAACCCTAGTTTTTCATGTATACAACTGTGCTTCCGGAGTAAACAATCCAAAAGATATTTAAAAATTTAAACTAATTAAAATGTGTAAATTCTCTACCCTTTAAATAAAAGTGTAAAATATTAATTTCAACGAAAGTTACCATTTGTTAAATTTCAATCTAAAACAGCACACTTACAAAATTATTAAGAATTTCTATAAATATATAATTTCTGCTTAAAATTTTAAGTTATAAATAGATGTGTTTAAAAAAAAAATATTGACATTTTCTCTCTTTCTGTCTAGCCATAGCTGTGAATAGCTATTTTACAATTGCTTCCGGCTTTAGACTCTCGATTAATTCATTCATAAACACGATCAGGGTTTGAATCCCTAAGTTGACATATAGCCTCTGAAAGTGTTGCACGCAGTAATTTAATGTTTATAGATTAATAAATCTGCTTTTTAAGTATTAATAAATCTGTTATATTTAAATTAATAAATCTGTTTTTAAATTAATAAATCTGTTTTATTAAAGTGTTGTAAATTATGAAGAAGTATAAATATTTGGGATTTTTGATTTATTGTTTAAATTTTATTGACATTTCACAAATATTTTGTGATGCTGCATCAGCACATATACATCATCATAGAGAATCGTTTGAGAAAGAAAGAACTGAAGATGGTGCATTTAATCCAAGAAGTAATAATCATTATGTGAATGGCGAACATCATCAAGAATTTGACCATGAAGCTATTTTGGGTAAGTAGACAATTATTATTTTTTACTTACAGAACCTCGAAGTAGTGATAAGCACATCAAGACAAGATTATTATTTATATATGTTGATTTTTAATAATTCTTGATCTGCTTTGTTGATTTAAAGTCAGAGATTTAATAAGAATTGAAAAATATTTTAAGGGTGCCCCAACATGGAATTTGTAAAATGCAAAGATCTTTTATTGTAAGAGGCGAAAGGCTGTGGAATAAGCTTTCAAATAATATTCGAGATGCAACTACAGTAGAACCTCGATTATCCGAGGTAATGTGGGGAAGAGGTACCTCGGATAATCGAAAACTCGGATAACACGGAACCAATGAAAATTTCAAAATTTTAAATTATTTTTCATGTGTTTAAAGTGTTAGAATAATATTAAATGACAAAAATGGACGAAATTTTAAATGCAATGATCACAAATAGTGGTTTTGTAAAATTTATTTTCCAAATTTAGTCGCTCGATCCGTTTTATCCGAGTTATTCCACATTATCCGAGCATGTTTAGTGCCTCGGATAATCCGGAATCTCGGATAATCGAGGCTCGGATAACCGAGGTTCTACTGTAATCTTAATTTTTACAAGACTGCTAAATTACTTACTATTAATTTTTTTCTAATTTCTTCAATGATCCCAAACAGGAAGTGTTAAAGCAGCTGAAGAATTCGACAAATTACCAAAAGAGGAATCGAAAAGAAGATTAGAAATCCTCTTGACCAAAATGGATCGGAATAAAGACAAGTACATTGAAAGGAATGAATTAAAATCATGGATTCTTCGATCCTTTAGGTAAGATCTTACATTGGGGGCCCGACAACGTCTTTGTTCTGGGAAAGTTTGTAAAACGTTTTTAGAGCATAAAAAGTTTTTAAAACGTTAGGTGGAGGACCTGAAATGTTCTAAAAACGTTTCAGTGCCCACAGGGTTCCTAAAGGTTTTTTAAAATAATAATTTTTTATTTTTTCCACAGTATGTTGTCAGCCGAAGAGTCACAAGATCGATTTGAAGATGCAGATGCAAATGAAGATGGAAAAATAAGTTGGGAGGAGATTCTTCAAGACACATATGGCTCGGATTCGGAAGATTTGGCAATTGATGATAAATTAGTGAATGATGATAAAATGACCTTTGAAGCTGCTGATTCCAATGGCGATGGTTATTTAACAGCTGAAGAATTTAAAGCCTATACACATCCTGAAGAAACACCAAAAATGTTTCCTTTACTATTGAAACAAGCAATTGCCGATAAGGATACAAATAATGATGGTTTCATTGATTTTCAAGAGTTTCTTGGTAATAGAGCAAAGGGCGAGGATAAAGAATGGTTATTAGTTGAAAAGGAAAAGTTTGATCATGAACATGATAAAAATCAGGATGGTAGGCTGGATGATGGGGAAATTCTTTCCTGGTTGGTGCCAAGCAATGAGTAAGTATTTTATATGGTGATTTTTAATTTAATATTTTCAATTTTTCCAATTTTGTTTCTTTTTAATAAATGAAAATGAAATTTTCAGTGACATTGCAACTGATGAAGTGGATCATTTGTTTGCGGCCGCAGATGATGATCATGATAATCGTCTGTCGTATGAAGAAATATTAGATCATCATGATACATTTGTTGGAAGTGAAGCAACTGACTATGGAGATCATTTACAAGATATACATCGCTTCGAAGATGAACTTTAAAAATAATTTATAATTTTAGGATAAAAATATTTTCTAAAATATTAATATTTTCTGAAATATTAAAATTTTCTAAAATATTAATATTTTAGAAAATTTTAAATCTCTATATTGAAAACACCACGCGGACTTTGGTTTTGAATTAATTTAATTCTAAACTGTTTTTTTAGCGCCTCCAGGTGATTTCAATGTGGAGTTTAAAAAATGACGAATGAATGTGACGTAATTTTAAGTTTTAATTAAAATCTATATAATTAATTTAATATATAGTAAATTTGACTGATTCACTTTTTGTAAGACTCACATTATTATTTATTGTGCAGTATGTTCTTTGACCAAAGTAAATATGAGGAGTTATTTCTCAAAATTTTACAAAAGTGTTTTATTTTCCAAAATTATTTTTCAAGTTCTAGCTTCTATTTGCTTTAAATTTTATTTTTTCTATTTTTTAATCAACAGCTTAGAAGAAGAGGAAATAAAATTTTAAAAATTTCAACTTCTGAAATTTAATAATTTCTAAAAATTAAATCTATAACCCTTCCGAAAATTCAATTATCTTCTACAATTATCTTATATTAATTTTTAATCTTACGAAAGTTCTTCGAGAAATTCAATTATTTAAATACAACAATTTAATTTTTTTACAATAATTAAAACAGTCCATTTTTCATTAAAAAAAAATTTTTTTTTTTAATTTTTAAAAGAATTTTTCAAAACTTTTTAATAGAGAAATTCGTAAAATTAACTTTTTAAAAATATTTCTAAATATTTTTTGAAAGATAATAGTTTTACAATTACCTATCTACTTAATTTAAAAATGTCAAAAAAAAATTGAAATTTGGTAAAATCTTTTTTTTTATATTTCCTTTTGTTTTTTTATCATACCAACCCCACATAACCTTGGAGTGCGGAATCCAAGGTATCTGTAGGCAGATTTCCCAAAAGTCCCTAAGCAAAAAAAAAATAAATAAATAAAACAATTCTAAAATTTAGTTTTTTATAAATATTGTTATGTAATTTTGCGAAAATAATTAAAGAATTTAAAAGAAAATAATTTTTTGAAATTTTTTTTTTTATTAAAAATTTTGAATTATTTTAATATTATTTTTAGAACCCAATTTTCATTAATTTTCATTTTTATTGAATTTACACTTGAATAAATTCATTAAAATTTTTTAAAATTTAATTATTTACAAAATTTTCGAGAATTCAATTATTTTTAAAATTTTTAATTAAAATTGTTCAAAAGTTAATTTTTAAAAATTGTAATACAATGCTTTGAAAAAATTATTTATTTCCAATTAAATTTTACAAAATTTCAATTATTCAAAATCTTTTTAATTGTATATTTCAAAAATTAATTTAAAAAAATTATTCAAAAATAAATTTTCAAACATTTTTATATAGTTATGCTTTTCAATAAAAATCGAAATATGTTGAATTTTTGTACTAAACATATGGTATTTTGTCGCAGAATTTGGAAGAAAAGTCGAAAAAGTCGCAATTTTTTTAATATAAGTCGATAAAAGTCGCATTATTTGAAAATAGTTCACAGCGCATGCGCATAAATGTATTACGTGTGAATTTGTTTTTTTTATTAAAAACTTTTTATTTTACCTACTTTTCAATACGTGACATTTTTTTCTCTTACTATTCAAAAAAGTTTTAAAAAATAAGTATAGAATTTTTTTCAAATTTAAATTTTATGGGTAAAATAGTTTTTTTTATAAATAAACAATTCTTTTGTTTTTGTAAAATTCAATATATCTTTAAACAAAATTTGAAATTTGTATTCAAGACAAAAATAATGCCGGTAAAATCATTGAAATCGGTCAAAAATTTTCTGTGAAATTAATTTTTTTAAAAAATAGTAAAAATATTCAATTTTCAAAAACAAAATTAAAAAATTCTTTTTTTCTTTTTGCAAAATCCTTTTTCTTATAAAATGCTAGTGAAATGCGGTCTTCAGGGCCGCTAATTACGAATATAAAGTCAGATTTTCAAAATTCAAAATGGCGGATCCAATATGGCGGACAGTTTTTTTTTAAATGTTCAAATTTGCATAAAATTTGGTACTCGGGGGTTTTTAGGGTTGCTGATTACGAATCTAAAGTCAGATTTTTAAAATTCAAAATGTCAGATCCAATATGGCGGACATATTTTTCAAAATTGATCAAATTTGCATAAAATTTGTTATTCGGGGTTTTTCAGGGACGCTGATTACAAATCTTATATTAGATTTTCGAAATTCAATATAAAAATTCCAAATTTAAAAAAAAGATGCAAAAAATAAGAAAAATCGTGTGTGAAAAAGAATTTTTTGATGCTTTTTAAAAATAATTATAAATTTTTATTAAAAAAAAGGTATTATTTAATACATAGTTTATCGTAGTTGATAAAAAAAAAACTTAAAATGAGAGTACATCGTATTGAAGGAACATAAGAGTCTGGGCAGGTTAGGTGGTTGGTGGAGATGTGAACTCTGAGAGGGGTCTAAAAAGGGGTTGGGTTGGGCTTGTTCCAGGGGTTAGCATTGTCGAAATATAAGTCACGTTCTTTCGTTCCGCGTATTAAGAAATAAAAAAAAGTAATAATAGAAAACAATGTTTTTAAAAGGAAATAATTGCTATTAAGTATTTTGTGTGATTATTTTGTAATAATTTGTTTAAAATTTTACAAAATTCTGTGAATTATCAAATGTTGCTTCACAATTTAAAATTCATTCTGTATCATCTTATTTGCGTATCATCATGTGTTAAAAAATAAATCGAAAGTACAAGGTACGTAATGAAAACACATTCTTTTGCATAGCTTGAAAAATATATTGAATTTTTTCCTAAAATATATTTTAATATCTTAGGCGAATAATAAGCATCATTATTTTTTTAATTTTTAATTCGGATGATAGAAAATCGTATTATCTCATAAAAGTTTTTATATATGTTTGGATACTTTCGAAAATTTTATATATTTAAATTTTAACTTAAAATATAAGCGAGGTCGTGAATATTCTTTTAGAATCGACATTTTATTCTTGAAATTGTATGAAACGACATTAAAATTTTATTGTCTCGCGAAATACAAAAAAAAATTGCTCATGGTTTCGCAAGTTCTAAAAAGATATTTTAAACGTAAAACATTTATTTTAATAAACTATTAAACTTTGTAAAATAATTTTTAAAAATGGAATCAAAATTATAGAAATTTAAATTTAAAAAGTTAAAAAAATTTTTTAAATTTTATGTTTAAATTTAAAAAAAAAATTTTTTTAACAGTTTAAATGTAAAAAATGAAAAATGTTAATAACTAATTAAAAAGTATAGATACAAGCAAAGATAGTTTTCAGGGAGGTACATAAATAAAATATTTATAATATAAAAGGTATTAGTCTTTCATTTATAGAATATATACAATAAGAGTTCAAATATCTAAACTTAGCCACTTAAAAGCATCTTTGCTATTGTTACCATTTCTTTTACGCAAGTTCGTTTAAAAAAGGTCAAATAAAAATTTTTACAAAATAAAAAAAAAAATTCAAATTCAAAAAAGTTTCGTGAATTTAAAAATTCTCTAATTTAGTATATTATTGGTAATCCAATTTATCAAATTGATAAATTAAATTAGATTATAAATTGAACACGAATAGAGGAGAATAGTCGGAACACCCGTATTTCTCTGTAAATTAATCATACTATATTACTAATAGAGATACAGCCATCTATGATTGGTATTTTCCCTATCTGATTTTCGTTGACAATTATATATAGAGATTCAAATATACTATATTAGCAAATATTAAAATTCAAATCATGGAAATAAATATGTAGATAAATAAAACAATTATAAAAATTTATGAAAATTCATAAAAATTCTTAAATATTCTTAAATTGTTACATATAATACCTAATATAAAATATGATGCAATGTAAAATTTAAAATAATCCAATTTATAAAATAAAGAATACGTCATCTGCAAAACTAATAATATAAGTAAAAAACACTTCTTAAAAATTAATAATTAAATAATTATTATTTATTGCCGCATGGCAGACTATCATGGCAGCTGGAATTGCAAGTAAGGTTTTTTATTTTACACAAACATTTTTTTCATATTAGCAAATTTTTTTTTATTGTAAGAACGTATATGAATCCCTGCGGTGTAATCGATGATTTTCTTGCGATGCCTACAACAGGAAATTTTTAGAAAAAAAAATCTTAAAAAACATTAAATTTTGACGTAGAAAGAATAGTATTTATAAAATAAATTTATATTTTCGCATTTTTTTAAAAATCTTTTATAAATTTTCGATGAAAAATCAAATAATTAATCTTATCTAAAAATCTATAAATTTTTATAATAAAAAAATACTTTAAAAATAAAATTTAATCTTATAATGTATTGTAATTAACCTCTTCGCTGTTTGAAAAAATATTCGTATGATTGTTTCAAAATGTCGGCAGCAAAATCTGGTCGATAAATTTTTATGACACTATGTATACATGCATTTTTGCGGTCGCTGAATTCAAATATGATGTCAAAAAAAAATTCAAAATGGCGGATCCAATATGGCGGAAAATTTTTTTAATTTTAAACAGATATTTATAAAAATTAGTATACAAGAGTTTTTTGGGTCGCTAAATTTAAAAGTGACGTCAAAAAAATTATGTCCGACATTTTGGATACTCCATTTTGAATTTCTAAAAATGAATGTTAAATTTGAATTCAGCGATCCAAAATACCCCTTGATACTGAAATTGATAAAAATCGAAATAAATTTTAAAAATTATGTCCGCCATTTTGAAATTTTAAAAATGAATATAAAATTAGAATTATGTCCGCCATTTTGGATCCGCCATTTTGAGTTTTTAAAAATGAAGGTCAAATTCGAATTCAGCGACCCCAGAAACCCTTATACACGGGGTTAAGTTAATTAAGTTATTCTACTAAGGGGGTACAATAGCCATAACAATTTTTCTTTAACGAGGTTATATACAGTTGTACCGCGAAAAAAGATGAAATTTTCTCCATTTTTTTTTGACACCATAAAAAATATTTATTCTAAATCAATTATTAGATTTTGATCTTTTTCTCATATTCAAAAACAATATTTATTTTATATTATTGATAATTATCAAATTTGCTTGAACATGCAATCTGATCTTGATCACTTGACTTTGTGGTGTAGGAACAATAGAGTCTCTGTGAATGTCAATAAATGGGACGTTATCTAGTTCTACCTATACGGGCACAATATTGTATAATTATAGCAAGCTATATGAAGCTCTTGGCTTTATCATGTTTAACGCAATTAATATCTATAATTTAATTACAAAATTAACTTTCTTTTAAGGCTAAAGATTCAACAATTGTTACCACTAAAAATGTTCTAGCTTTCGATTTTTGTGCAATTATCTTTTAAATTGTCGACGTCTGTGAAAAAAAAATTATTCTAACCTATTTTTCTTTGATTTTAAGAATATTTTCTAGTTTTTCTATCAATGGGACGATTTTGATATTTTTTATAGCGTATATCGAAAGCTTGACTTTTTTCCTACGAAATTATTTTTTAAGAAAAAATGAAAAAAAAAAAAAAAAAAAAATGAAAATGAAAAAAAAAAAAAATGAAAAAAAAAAAAAATGAAATTGAAAATGGGACTGAATGGATTAATAAAACTGGAAGGAGGTTGTAGTTGTCTTGTCTGAGGAGCAAGCGCCTCGAAGTGAGTCCGCAGTGAGACTGAGGAGCAAAGTAGTGCGTCGCGGTATATAAGCAGTTGGCGGTGAGGGTGAGGGAAGGAGAGGAAGAGGCGCAAGCGGTATGCGCCGACGCGTCATCGTCAGTCTCGCTCTGATTGCGAGGTGTACACAACTAACCTTCTCCCCATAGGGAACTCGGTCTTTTATAGTAATTTTGGTTTCTACAAACTTCCACGACAATTTTTTTCTTTTTTCTTCTTAATTCTCTTCCGGACCAATGGTACTGAGGAGACTTGCCAAATCAATTACAATTCTCTATGTAGTGTAGTAATTTCTCTAGAAAGTAGATATCTGCTCTTAAAATCAGGAGTAACTTTGTGGACCCAGGTATCCTAATCGACACAATCTAATTTTTTATACGACATCATGTCTGTGCTGTATAATGTATGCTATTGCTATATTAATAACACAAAAAATTATCGAAAGCCAAAATGATGATCCAGTATTAATTTCCCTTCAATAATAATATTTTGACATCTAATAGATGTCACTATTTTCCAGGGTCGGATCCAGCATTTACAATAGGGGGTTGTCAGCTTATATAAATATTTCAGAATTGGGGGTGGTCAGCTAATACATATAAATATTAAAAAACAACGTTAAATTAACTTGAAATGTTCTTTCATAATATTTACTTAAATAATAAATACTTAAAAGCCTAGGCTTTCCATAAAATCACTTAAGCTTGAAGCCAGTAAACGCATCCCACCGCGTCTCTAAAATGACGCTTATGATGCCAGCGAGCTTAAAAGGTTCCTAATTAATGAAAATCCTAATAAAACTATTCTAATATTTAACAGTACATTAATAACATAATTTCCATAATGTTTTGTAAATATTTATAAAATCTTACTAAATCATTGCAAGTCGAAAGATGTAGCATAGAATTAAGACTATCAAAGCAAGCGAATGAATAATTAAATGTATTGCCTCTTTCAGATTCTTACAATACAATGATTGGTGCCAATTTAAGATTCGGAATTGGAGCCTCTGGAAATGTTACCTCAAATGCAAGTAAAGTTTTTCAGTGTCATCCAGGAGGAAAGACGGAGGCAACAATTATTTTTGGCTTGGGAACTTTGGGAATGAGTGCTAATATTTTACTGATGTCGTTAATATTAATTAAACAACAGCTACGAAGGTATTACTAAATACCTAAATATTCAAAAATATACCTAAAACCTAAATATACCCTTCAGTTAAAATTTTGTCAAAAACTATATTTCCAGACTCGGATTTTAAGTCAACATTAAATTTTTTCCATAGGCTAAGTTAATTACTTTTTCTCGGTTATAGATGGTCCCAGGGACTATTATTCCATCAAGCATTTATTGATTGCTCAAGAGCTGCAATACTTTTACCTCTTGGTTCGAGTATTCTCAAGTGTCAACCGATAAATAAGTGTTCTTTAGTTGAAACTGCTTTTTTATTATTAGTAACTGTTTCAACAGTCAACATGCTAACTATTGTACTGAATGATAGTCCAGTATTTCCAGAGTGTGGAGAGGAGACGGATTTAATATTTCCCCTACTAATGGATTCACCGCAGGTAAATTTTAACAAACTTTTAATTAGACTAATACTTTTCAGCAGTGAATTTAAGATAACAGTTTACAAAAGTTTCTGTACTGAAACGTTTCCAAGTTTTATTGTACTGATTTTTTATTCAAAGTACTTTTACTTGTATGACAATTTAAAAAATGATTTGTATTCTAAAATTGGTTAGAAAATAATAATTATAGAAAAGGATTTAATGTTTCTTGGAGGGAAACCCCTAGAAAGTCTCTTATTCGAGTTTAGGTTCGAGAAGGCAGATGATAATCTAAAAATGATATTTCCAAATAGTTGTTGCAATACTCCAATGATTTCCTTTGCTTGAAAACATATGTAAAAGTTGTTTCATTTCCTAATTATGGCTTTTAATAGTTAATTTCTTTCTTTAATACGTGTCCTAAAATTGTGCATGACTTTGTAAGGGAAGTAGCACCCCAAGTGGGAATTTTTATTTAAGTACTAGAATTATAATAAATCCGCTAAAGAGGAGTTAATAGGTAAAGACGCTATTCTGCTATTTGAACCAGTGTGAAAGTATAAAAAAAGTATTTGTTTCCAAAGGTGTGGGATATGAAAAATTAGTTCAAAATACGTGCGATTTTTAAATAGTGACTTACTAAGAAATCAAGTGAAAGAACAATAATTAGGCACATATTAGAACTTTAAAAACAGTATTTGGCGTATAGTAAAGGAAATTATTTACTAAATCCTAAACAACAAAATGTTATGCTTAGATTTGAGTTTAAAAAATTAATTTTTTTGAGTGTCCTTTACGCGAATACGTTCAGAAATAAATAATAACTGCATTGATGAGGTAAGTATACTCATAAGCATTTATAAAGTAGTCTTTCAAATTAACTTAAACATAACTGAATGGGAATGCAAAGCAATTAAATATAATGTAAACCAAATAAAATAAAAATAATGTATAAATACATGTGTGCTCATCTTAAAAAAAAGAGGTACCTTCAATTATGCATGAAAGTAAAAGTATTTAAATTTAAAAAAAATTGTTTTTTATCACAATATCCTGAAAATGCTTATTAGTCTTTTGGCTTTAAGGATATGAACCCTTAATCCGCTTTTGTCATATCGAACTTGTAGAAGTATGTGACTAACAGAACATATCATGTAGTTTAGTATGTTTAACCACTAATTGTTAATTAGTGGTTACATCTACCCTGATTAATTTTAACTAAAATAATTTAGAATTGTTACCAATTACGCAGCACCCATATGGACACGGTAACAACATCTTTGTTCTAGAAACGTTCCTAAAACGTTTCATGTCCGCTACATAACGGCTTAAGAACGTCCAATACTCCAAAGAGTATTTTAAATTTTTTTCTATCTCCACCTTTTCGCGTAGGTGAAATAAAAAAAGTCATTAACTTTTTCTTAAGATGAATAAGCACACAGATAAATAATAAAACAATAAAATAAAGTGGATAGTCACAATAATTATAATGTATTATCTAAATAAAAACACATTGTAAAAAAATTTTTTGTTAGGATTCTGTTTTATATTATTTAATAATTTTGTGCATTAAAGTATTGTGTTATTCTATATACATAGAATGTTGTAGATTGCGTTGATTTTCATAATTTCAAAAATTACTTTATTAAATACCTCTAAATGGCTTCAAACTAAGGGATAAAATATTTAACACTCCATCCTGCTATAATCGCATCAATGAAGACTTTTTTTTGAACAAGTGTCTGCGTCCTGTTAGCCAAATACAACTCTGCATATTTTTTCTGTCCTACTATGGCAGAACATTTCAATGTTCTGACAGTGTAAAGCGCATGAAAACTTCTTGACAGAAATGTATAAAATTATTTTGAGTACTTTGGATTATTCTTATTGTTAGTTATTAATTATTTTCCTTTACGGGTGCTATTGAACTTTGTAGTTTTCATTGGTCCTTATTAAGTAAAATAGCTGCGACGATTCGTTTGTATAATTAAAAATAAAGTTTGTTCTCTTAGGATTTTTTTACGTTTCAATATTATTTGTTATTAAATGTAATTGTAATTTTTACTTATCTGAATATTCTTTGTAGTACAAAATATTATTTGGTAATTTACATAAAGTACCCTACCGTGATAAACTTCTGTTGTGCCCAGTAGTATTTTGAACCGTTCTTCATAAAAATTTAAAGTTGATGTTATATTTTACCCAGTGTATTGAAAACAGTACTCCCATTATTTCCCATAAAGTGGTCAGGAGAAAGTAGTTATCATTGTACTATTATTTAATCTTAAAAAAATGAAAAAAAACAGTGAACTGGTTGAATAGTTTACGAGAAAAATGATGTCTACTATCCCCTATATTTAAATTTATTTTTATATGATAATTTAGAAAATGCTTTTAATAGAATTTTTGCCTTTTTGGGTCAACTGGTAGGGACGTATGATGGACCAAAAATTTTTTCGTGGAGTATTATTTGGTAATTTTTCGAACAAACTTCTCTAAATTTACTGTTAGACGGCTTGAAGCGTTACTCAGACTTACGTGCCTTGAACTTGGAGTCACTGGAAGAAATATTAGGTTTATTCTTCGGTCAATTCACGGCACAATACTGGTTTAGACTTACTCATCAAAACAACTTATTTTTATCAACTTTTCTCTATTTCACAACACAATACTGGTTTAGACTTACTCATCAAGACAACTTTTTTTTATTTCGCCAGGAGTCAAAGTCAAGGCAACTAAAAATAAACTCGGAACATAATTGAATAGTTTAATTAAACAAAATGGCTCTTCAGCACTTTTAGGCGTGCTAAATACCATTTTTGTCAGCCCTTTGGCTCTTCAATTCAGATTTTTTTGTTCGGGTCAGGCCTTCCGGTCAATGACTCAGGTAATATTTTCTTTTTCCCTTCATCGCATGGAAGAATATAGATAAAAGTATGAAACTTAAAGCGTTACTCAGACCCAACGAAGGATTACCACAAACAATACGAACCCTTGAACTATTAGCCTTTCTAAATGAGGATTAACTCCGAGAACCCAGGTAAACGATTTGTTATTAAATATATAGTTAACGTAAATTTGTTAATTCTTCCCAGGCGCGAAAGACCAATGCTGACGATGGATTGAAGATTTATTGAGCCTTGAACGCCCAGCCTGGGTAACCCAGTGTTGAAGCAGTCTTTATACCACTGTCACTCAATGTTGATTCAGCATTGGACACCAATGTTCGTTCCATGCTCGATTCAAGACTCGGTCAATCTTCGTGAGTGAAGCTCGAACATCTGATCTTAATTCAAGCCTGAATCAATCTTGACAGTTTATTTATTGACGTGTGCACTTAAAAATATTAAATATAAATATTTATAATTTATAAATTAATTAATATTAAAATATTTTTTATGATAATTTTGTATACTATTTAAAAATTATTATTAATTATTATTATCAAGATATCAATTGGTAAATAAATATTAATATTTATTTAGTGTATAATATTTATATTAATTATTAATTTATTAACCTTGAGACGGCCGGGGTGGCCACTATAGTGGCCACCATTAATTTTCACTACTATTTTCATCGAATTGACTTTTTATTTAATTTTACTTATTAAAAAACTAGTAAAATTTTTAAAAATTTTCCGGCCCTCTAAAGGTTAATAATAATGATTATTATTATTATTATTATAAAAAAATATTAAATTAAAAATAAATATTAAATATTATTATTATTATTATAATAATTATTATTATTAATTATATAAGATTTATATAAATAAAGTTAAATTATACATTATTATTTTTTTCTTGCACAGTGTCAAATAATTGTATTCAAAGTTCAAGAGTTTCGTTTGTCTGAAAAATTTTTAGTGAAAAAAATGTTTATTAGGGTGTAATAAATATTTATGCCTAGTAGTTTTACACTAGGATTAACTGTTTAGTAAATATGTATTATCAAAAAACTATTTTTTGTCAAACGCGTGCGATTAAACACAAATAACCTTGAGACTTTAGCATTGCCAACTCAAGAGTTTAACGTATGTGTTGAGTTGGTAATGCTGAAGTTTCAAGGTTATTTGTGTTTAGTCGCGCGCGTTTGACAAAAAATAGTTTTTTGATAAAATTTACTAAACAGTTAATCCTAGTGTAAAACTACTAAGCATAAATATTTATTACTACCTAATGAACATTTTTTTCACTAATAATTTTTCAGATAAACGAAACTCTTAAACTTTGAAAATAATAATTTGACACTGTACAAGAAAAAAAATAATATATATAATTTAACTTATAAAATTATCATAAAAAATATTTTAATAATAAATAATTTATAAATATTGATATTTAATATTGTTCAGTGCACACGGTAATAAAGAAAGTGAATATTGTATCAAGATTGACCGAGTCTTGAATCGAACATGGGACGAACATTGGTGTCCCATGCTGAACAAATATTGAGTGACGCGCCGTATATACAGAATATACTGCGCTGGCATTGAAATAGTAGATTAGGCGAGGTGCCTTCCAGCCTTCTGTGGCCGAGCGGTTTAAATGCGTGCGTTTAGGACTTCCGGTATGCGTTAGGGGCGGGGTGCGTGAGTTCGATCCCACATGCGAGCGAATATTTTTCATTCTTTGTTTTAAGCGTTATATCTAATAATAAAATTGTGTGTTGTGTTGTGAATAAAAAATGTGAATATGTTTGTAAATAATATTAAAAAGTCTGCTGAAAAATCGAGAAAAAAATGTACCGATTAACAGAAAAATTGTTTTCTTTTACTAAAATTATTTTTTTAATATTACTATTTCAAATGACATTTATTGTTATAGTAATATATTATTTATATGATAATAATATAATTATTATAATAGTAACTTAATGCCATTAAATTAACAAACGCATATAATATGAATAAAAATAATAACAATAATATTCATTACTATTATAATTATAATTATTACTATTATTATTATTATATACAATTCATATATCCATATTATATTGAATGAGCGCGAGAGACGCGTAAATTTGGGAACAGTGGAAGCAGCCTTGTTTCAGTCCTGCATTATAGGGTTCCGCAGCATTGATTGAACATTGAACGCCAATCTACAACAAAGACTGGAGCGTCAGTCTTAAATAAGTGTTACATTATAGCTAGAAGCAACCTTCGTTCCGCCGTCCCACCAAGGCTTGATCAATGTTGACCAAGCCTCAACGAAGGTTCCGTAAAGCCTGAATCCAGCGTCAGTTCTCGCCTGGGTTATTGTTATAAATATTCACGAACCCAGGTCCGACGAGCAAGTTAAAAATCATTGCAAGTTAAACATAACGAATGATAATTAAAAATTAAGAGAATACTGTTCTTTAAATTATCAAATAATACTACAACTTTGAATTGCTAAAAAATATTGGCCAAAGCTTATATGACGCCGAATTTTATAATAGCTTACGAACCCAAGTAAAATAATCCACAGAATGTCTACAAACTAATAATTACTGTAATGACTAATAATTTTTTAATCTTTTAACCACCACACTTTCGAGAGAGACTATCAGTCCACGTAAAGTTTGCAAACACTCTCTAGACTATTTTACTTGGGAACTCCATAAGATTTAAGTATCTATCTTCATTTCTGTCCAAGAATATCGTTTTGACATTCTGGACCATTCTGGACTACACAAAATAGCGAAATGTGGAATAAGTAATTCGACATCAGGAATGCGTGATCGGATTCAAAAAATTGTAGAATAAGGGATCGAGAATGTGAAATACGGCATTCAAAGTTTTTAGAATCGGGAACGAAAAAAATCAACTTAAAATTGTTTTTACATGGTGAATTATGCGTAAACCTTAGGATTTTTGGCATTTTGGACACTTTTATTGTCCCAATGGATATTCTTTTGTGTCTGCAACGGTTGCCGTCATTCGCTGGCTGCATTTAAAGCAACTAATGTTACTTGAATTTTTATTGAATGCAAAAATTTTTAACTTACATTTATTGTCGAAAATAACCAATAACAATATTCATTAAACTTCGTATTCTGTACTTCTACAGAATTCTATCTGCAAAGTATAATTATTATCTAAAAATAATCTATATTTTGCACAACGAAAATAGATATAAACCAAAATATTTAAATAGGATTCAGTAAAATAATTTTTAACCAACTTTAGATCAACTTTTGATTATTAGTTTTTTATTCTTATAATTTTATTTTATGAAAGTTTAATTTTTATTAATTTGACCAAATAAAAGATAAAAACACTGCGTATAAAATTTTAGTATTACTTAAAACTGTAAATAATACATAAATGGAGATGATAAAAGTAATGTTTAATTCTTGCATAATAATAGTCATGTAAATATATATTATATTATATATTAAAATAATTATATATTTTTATAAAATTGAACTTGAAAGTTTATACTTTAAATCACAAAAATTAAATATCAAATACTTTGTTACCATTTGATGTATATCAAATATTTTGATATTTTAAATCGAATTCAGTATTTAAAATGTTTTGATTAAGATTACTTTTATCAAATCTACTAATAAATTAAAATTAAAATTAATTCAATTGATTTCTTCACTAGAGTCTTTATGATTTGATTGTAACGAACTTAAAATTGTCAGAGTGTTAATACAATCTTCAGGTGTAAATTAATTTTTTTTCAAATTATCATAAAGAAAATATAAAATTTATTGTAAATCGTAAAAGTCATGAATATGACAATAATGTTAAATTCATGAAAATTTACTTTAGATATTTAAATGTCCTATTTTCTTCAAAGGGAAGACTGTTCAGAATTACAGTTTTTTAATAAATTTTTTACCGATTTAGATATTTATAAGTATTTTTCTATTCATTGATTAATATTTCAATTATTTATTTAATTTTTTTTGACAATAAAAACTACTATAAAAATTTACCCGTACATTATAGTAAAGGTATACTTAAAACAACAAATTCTGACAATTCCTGTTTGTTCCTTTCGTCAAATCATATAGATTTCTATGTAGTGCCATACTGTAACGAAATAATATAATATTAATGTTGTGTTCGTCTTCTTTTTTCAGATAAATGTACATAAATATTTTGAAAACCGACACTGGCAACAAAAAATGGCCAAAATAATTAAAATAATATAGGCTGCAGAAGTGAAAAATGTATAAAAAGGTCTAACAATGGATTTATAAATTAAAAAAAAATATTTTCCTTATGGTAGGTACTTTTATTTTAATTTATAATAGTTTTACTTCTTACATCTGAGAGCCAATACAGAATGGCTCTGTCATTTTTCCACCTAGTTTAACAATAATTTGTTTATGCACCGAAATGTAAAGTAATTTTTTCAAAAAGTCTTATCTGTTAAAAAGCAATTTATAGAAACAAGTTTCTAATTGCATTTGTTAACAATAAAATCGCCTTGAACTTTCTAAACGATTCCTTCAAATAATTTCCATCACGAGTTAAAAAATTATTGATTTCCATTATATTTATTTTATATCCAAATATTTTTTTAATACGCAAAGTGAAAAGTGTTAATTTCAGAAGAATCACCACAATATTAAGAAGTTACTGATGTGTAAATTGTAAGTGAAAAATGAAACAATGAATAATTAATAATTAATTTAAAGAATTCCCAAGTTTATACAGATAGGGAGTTAAAATTTAACAAAAAATAAAGTACAAAACATTTTGTACAAATGTGAAATAATAGTTGAAATAAAAATTTATACTTTATACGTATTTTGTGTCGAAACTTATTTACCATTATTTAAAAATATAATAAATTGTAGAGAGTAGTAAATATTTTTATTTTCAGCAAGTGAAATCTTTTAATGATTGTATTGGAAATTTTCAATTCTTTGTTTCAATTAATTATCTTCACATTGTTCGACTACCAAACTTTTTTTTTTGTTGATTAAAATTAAACTAATAATTTAATGTGGATTTTTTTAGTGCGTACTATTTGGTACGTTCATGATATGGTTTGCAAGTATCACAATTAATCTGGGCCCAACTTTCTTAAGTGGAGCTTTGGCAGCAAATACGGATACGGTTCAGAATGCACCAAGCTGTCCATTAGTCCATGGACCATTTCGACATTACATTCTAAATGTACTGTGGATCGCTGTTAATATTATTTGCATTGTCTTAACATTATTTCACTTAAAAAAATTGCACAGGGATTTGACAAAAGCGAATGTTGAAGCGGTATGTAACATTGTTTATAAGCTCTTTATTTTTTTTAAAACTTTTTAAAAACAGTTAATCTGTTAATTAATCTGTACATTGAGTATTTAATTTATAAACTCAAGTAAAAACGTCTGCAGAGTGTCTGCTAACTTTCAGCGGACTCCCTATCTTCCCAGAAAGTCTTAGGGTTCGAAAAATTTCAAAATTATGTAATAACAGTTTTTAACAAATTTTTTAAAACAACCGTACATACTTTAATCAGAAAAGAATCCGCTCGAGGTCTGCAGAAAATTTGCAGGCATTCTGTGGACTGTTTTACTTGAGAATCTGCACATTTTCTAGCACAATTTATCTAAATAAGCATTGAATTGTTTTTAGTTATTGTTTTCGAAAGTCAAATTTTGATGTAAGTGTAATGTCTGTTAATTATTTAAGCAACCTTTGTATCAAAATATGCAAACACATAAGTAGGCTTTTCGACCTGTAGATTTTGGGATATATTTAAGACTTAAAGATCAATAAACGTCCCAAAAATACCTTAAGTTTTAGAAGGGATCCCTTAGATAAAAGATATTTTTAGGACGTTCTTTAAGGAATTTGAACAATCTCTTTTTAAAAACAAAATATTATTTTCATTCAATATTTAAATGTCATCATTATGTTTATTTATTAGTATTTATCATCATTATTTAAAAGTACTTTTCTGCAGTGTTTTGGCTTAGTTACTTTTCAGAAAATATTTTAGATCTGCAGGTCTATGTGTAACATTAGATAATGAATATATAACCTAAATGTTTTATTTTTATAAGAAAAGCAATAAGTTAATAGTAATCGTACATAATGCTTAAATCTTAATTATATCACAAACTTTAGGTTAGAGTTGCTGGCCTAGTTACCACTCTTGTTAGCGTGACTGGAGGGCATAGTGTCATGGAGGGAACAATTACTGAAACACGGCCTACAAATTCTGCATCTAAGGTTAGTTTATTTTAAAAAGTACAGAGAGTTCTCTATAATTTCAGTTAACAATCAGGTTTAAATTAACATAATTAATTAATTGTGATAACGAGTAGAAATTTATAATAATTATGCAACGGAATGTGGATTAAGATTTACCATTAATATTGTTATCGACTTACGTGTCTTGAAGTCACTGGAACAAATATTAGTTTTATTCTTCGGTCAATTCACGGCACAATACTGGTTTAGACTTACTCATCAAAACAACTTTTCTCTATTTTGACAGGAATTATAGTCAAGGCAACTAAAAATGAACTCGTAACATAATTCAATAGTTTAATTTAACATAGTTTTCTGTTCGGATCAGGTCTTACGGTCAATGACCTCTTCCCGTCAGGTCTCAACCATCACTGCCTTGAGCACTTGGTCCCTTCTCCTTCTCCACTGCTCTCCCTCCCTTTTTCTTCCTACTTTTAGTAGTACCGGGGAATTGTTTTAATTTTAAATTGTTGTGTGTTCACTAGGATGACGGAGCAATTGCAGAACACCGAAAAATGAGAAATTATTTTCGACGGATGGAAAGAGATGGTGTGCAAAGAGTAAAAATGTTCTTAGTAATAACAGCTGCTTATGTGCTCTTTTGGGGACCCCTCTTTTTTGTAACTCTAGTACAACATCCTTCTATAGGAAACCCTACTGGCTATGAGGCAAGTAATTGTAAATATTTTAGTGAAATTCTATTAAAATAATCAAAATTTCGATGTAGATTCCCATATTCCACTTAGTTTATTTACACAAAAAATATTTGCAGGTAACACTTCATATAGCCTACGTTCATGCATTCGTAAATCCCGTCTTATTTCTAACTCTTCATCGAGGACTCCGGAATTGTTTAATGGAATTTTGTTGTGGCTGCTGCATAAGCTTTGTAAAATATTTAATGGATAATCCACCACCAAATCCTGTTGAATCTGCACCCTCAGTTATATGCGATGCTTCAACAGCAATACCAATGCGACAGGATTCTGATTTCAGAGAACGGATTTCAAGTCTACATGACTACAAAAACATTGTTTTACTAAAACCGCCAATATCACCACCACCATTGCCACAAATGATGGTAAGATACACTATTAAAATAAATAGACTTTTATCAATGAAGAAGATTTTATGAAATATATTTATATAGGAACGGGAAGTACCGGATAATATTTGGCGATCAATTTGTCGTCAACAACTAAATGAACAACGTGAGGAACCAAAACTCAGAATTCCTGAAGCTTTACTCCCATCGACACTCGACTTCAATGATCTGCATTGCGTATTTACACCTGTAAGCAGTGATATATCAAGTGAATGAAAACAAAAAATTAGTGTACTGAAGGAAATAGAACAGCACAATAGACAGTTTTTGCAAGTGATTCTCCTTAAATAAAATTTATGTTCATGACAAATATTTATTGTGAGAAATAATTTATACTTTGTCACATTTCTGATTATATTTAATGATTGTATTAAAGTCTAAATCTATTTAAAAATAAATATGCACAATTTACAAAGAAAGTTTCGATAATTTAAAACTATTCCAGAAACTTAAAGGGAATTAAGGGAGAAGTATGATTTATAAATAAATCTTTGAACAAAAAATTATAGTCTTAAAAGTTTTGTAGCTTAAAGAGAAAGTAATAATTTCAATTCATATCGGAATCTTATTTCAATTTTCTTAGTTGTATGTTAGTTGATCAAACTACGACTGATAAAGAAATCTTTTGCAAGCTAATGCTGTGAAACTATAGAGTTTCTTGCTGTATTGCAAATAAAGATTTTAGTGTCGAAGTGATAGTAAGATAATGGATAGAGCGAATAGATGAATACGTAATGCTAAAATAACACGCTTAATGCATTTATTTCACCAACTGACTTTAAATTCATTGTAAGTGAATATAATATTTAATAGTTCTTGGCAGTCAATTAAATGTTTTCAACTAATCAATAATCTTATTTTCCAAGGACGATTTTTTCTTACAGTTTCTCTACAACAGATGAACGATGAATGTAGAGACAGAGGGATCGTTATTTTTGTAACAAATACAATAAATCTAGATTCCAGTAAGATTAACAAGTAATCATTGAATTCTATTTAAGCAAAAGTGTGATCATCAACTATTTTATCACATAATGTTTCAATTCTAAATACAATAAGGTAATTTCAAAATAATACCTGAACATACTTCTCAATAATACAGTTGAATGTTACGGATTTTTTGTTAATCAATACTTTTCAACCAATATCTTTTATTAATTACGGTCACTTAGTTTAATGAACATTATCATTTAAATTTTTTTTAATCTTATATTTTTGGTTGCAATTAAAAAATCGATTTCGAAATTGTTTTAGAATCATTGTTTTTAATTATTTATAGAAAATGAAGTATCTGAATAGAATTGATGACTATATAAACATTAACAAATTCTTTATGTCCATTGTTGGACTATGGCCCTATCAGTTATCAAATGAAAAAATAATTTTACGTTCACTTTGTTTCGGAACAATAACATCATTTCTGATTCCACTTGTAAGTATTATTATGAAGTATGAATTTCACATAAATAAAACATTCTGCCTAATGTCAAGCAAAATCTGATACTTTCAATAATGGAGAAATTTGAAAGAAAATTAATTTTTCCAACAGAGGTTAATTAATTTTTAAGAATAGATTAATAAATTGTGTTAATAAACAAAACCTTCGAGACTCTCTTAATCGTCAGAAGGAACTCTGACTGAACAAGACTGGTGATCAGAAATGCCAACGACGTGACATGACAGGTACTTTACTGACTACAACACTCTGATTATGAACTACATTTCGATTTCTTCCTACAAATTCGTTGACGTTAGAAAATAAAAGGATGATCCCAAAGTCTACACTTTTTTCTCTAATCCTACTGTCATGTGACTACTTGACTACTAATTAGTTGATTGACAGATTTTCACTATGACTAGTGGTTTACTTGTCAACTCTGGCTTCTGACGATCACGGTTCAGGGACAATTCCGACAGATGACGTGACGATTCACATCGTCACATTATTATATTATTCAGAAGTCATTTTCCAAACGGAAGAAACTTTTAGTATGTTTCTGTCCTTTAGGGCACATCCTGAATTAAGAATCATCTTCGCAGAGATTTAATTATTTCGGTATATTTCTTTTTGGGCAAGAGGCTCTAAGTCCCACCCGATAAAATTAAAAACCTAATTTTGTTATTTAGGCAATAGCTGCATATGATGTAAGACATGAGTCTATTATTTTGGTCGAATGCATCCCACCACTATTTACAGTAATTGGTGCCTACATTTGTGGTATATCTCTTATGATTAACATGTCTAAGGTATGTGTCTATTACTTTATTTTTTCATTATACTAATACCTACCCTGTTAGAACGGATATTCAGGGATATTCTTTAGACGTCCCAGGTCTATAATCAAATTATGATAATTCTAAAATGTATAATTCCCGATCATTCTCGGAATATGATACCTTGAATATCCGGATTTCTGTATAAGAGTTTAGAATATTTAGTATCTTTTACTTTTTTAATTTACAACTTTATTAATACAATAATTAATTTTATGTAATTTAAATTTGTTAAGATGAAATTACTAACTGATTGCATGAAAAATGATTGGCAATCAAATCACAGTGAATTCGAGTTCGACATTTTAAGGAAATCTGCCCAAAGAGGAAAACATTTAACATTACTGTTTGCAAGTAGCTTAATTGAATATTTTAATTTATTAAAGTATATATAGAGAAAAGAAATGTAGATATATAAACTCTAAACTTTATATAATTCTCAGTATACGTGTACGTAACTGTAGCTCTTTACGTAATGATTCCACTGATGCCACAGTTTCTTGACATTATTTTACCGCTTAATGACTCAAGACCAGAATATTACATTTTTCATGTCAACTACATTTTTATGGAAAATAGTAATCACTATTATTTTGTATATGCACATTCAATTCTCGCTACATTCTTTACCATAACAAGTATACTGTCTTCAGACATTAGCTTTCTTTGCTTTGTGCAACATGCTTGTGGAATGTTTCAACTTTTAGGGTAAGCTAATTTTAAAATTTTGTAAATATAACAGTTACAGGAACAATTAAAGTTAAACATTATTCTGCATTTGTAGATATACTTTTTATTGTAAGAAATTCTCAGTCTAAGTCCTCGTCATCGTCAATGTTAATGTTGTCCTCGTCATGATTGTCTTTTTTTCCTCACGTTTCGTCCATTTTGTCCCTTTTATTTTCTGTTTTGTCATTGTCTTCATTCAAAAATGTCGCGAGATTCATAGAGGCGTTAACTCAATTCAACGATTATTGTTTTTAGGTGCATACCCAGTGTGCACGTTCTGGAACTGTTCTGTAACAGTTAATGGAAATAAAGAACAGTTACAGAACGGTTCCGGAATTGTTCCGGAACGTGATGCACACTGGGTAGGGTCTAAACTTTCCACGATGACCCTTGGTATTGCAAAAAGTTGTGCACCTCCATAATCCATGCACACTTAGATATCAGCCCTGGGATTAAATCATCTTTAATCCTAGAGCTGATGCCTAAGGATTTCCCATTTCCGGCCTGCTCACATGGGGTACTAAATCTAAATTATTTCATTACATTCTTGCTGTTTGATGATTTTAGTGCCCGTAGGCACTTCCTGTGGAGGCCATCAGCCTTCTTCTCCTTAAAAAATGATCGACCTAGTTGATCAACCATTTACATAATGTTTGCAAGTGTGTTTCCCAAGAAGATCCAGTATGTCTGTGATGTTACACGGAGAAAAAGGAATTTTTGTGGTAACTAAAAATTAAGTCCACATAACAATTCTGGATTGTCAATATTGAACTAGCAATTCTATTTGTTGTTGAGACAGAGAATAATTGTTAAAATAGAATTGTTATGAAAACTATTCAGATTTGTTCGATGAACAAGCAGAATTGTTATGGATAAGTTGATTGAACAAATCTAGATTGTCATTTTGACAAAACAATTTGTTTAATTAATTATCGTTAAATTAATATTTAATTTAATAGACATGTAACAAAAAGTGAGGTTATATTCAGTAGAAATCGTGTTCAAACCGATAAACGAAGAAATTATTTCTTCCTCTAAATCCCACTGTCTTAACAACTCGCGCACTTTTTTTTCTTTTTCCGGAATCATAACTAACTTATAAAATCACTTAATTTAGAATAAAACACTAAAAACGAAGAGCGGCACATATACGCAAGACGCTCAAGTATACGGATATGTACAGGGATGACAACGTGAACAATTAACCTGTCAGTCCAACAAATCCGAATTGTTCCATCAGCAATCGGCGGAAGATTTGCTTCTACAACAATATAAAATTGTAAACTGAACAGGCTGATTGTAACTAATTTGTATTGTTGCTAAAACAAGATACATTTGTATTGACAACAATGCGAATTGTAATTTCAACATTCCTAATTGTATCAAGAACAAATCTACTAATAACAATCCAAAAATTGTTTGCACAACAACACCTTTTTTTTCCGTGTATAGGTAACGGATTTAGATAGCTGACTCTTTGGGAATATTTAGAATGTTACGTCTCCCACTAAGACGAGATAATTTCTAAGATAAAATTTAATAAATTATTCAAACAAGTTTTTGTTCATTATAATATTCACCTACTTTACAAAACAGTTGTGAACCCTATTATTTCAGATATAGATTAAGAAATATTGAAGGCAAAAATTGTAATACTAAGGGGTGTAAAGTTACTGAGGATAATGAAGTTAATAAAAAATTGATTGAATGTATTCAACTGTACAACAATATACTTAAGTTAGTATACATAAAAGTGCATGTGTATTTACAAGCATATTAAAACAATTTTCAGTCTTTACAAAGCTAACTTTTGCTGTTTGAATTCTTTTATAAAACATTTATATGATGAACTAATACTTTCTAAAATAGATATACAGATAATATTGAACTCTGTTTTTCTAATGTGTTTCTACTTGTCATTGGTATTAATATGATAATGATAAGTTTCCAAGGGCTACAAGTGAGTTGAACCTATGTTTTTACTTTGGCTTTTTATATATGAAGCTATTTTTTTAGCTTATAGATTACAATCTTTGAAATTGTACACTTCTGTGCATATGTGCCTTCCCTTATAAAAGACAATAATTTGTTACAAATTATCAAATGTTCATGTTCTTTTATAAGTTAGTCCAGTGAACAGCAGAATACTATTCAAAATTTTGCTTTCAATTGACACAATTAATATAATAATCACAAAAAAGAAAATTAATTCCATTATACTCAGGGAAGGCATCAATGCACTAAATGCTTCCTATTCGGATCTTAAACTTTTAAGCAAACTATAAAAAGTTATTCTTACAGATTGTGCTGAACCTAAATAACATTGCGCTTCTTTTAAGACTTGTTGCCTTTTTTGTAAGTCAAATTATTCATTTATATTTTAATACAATTCCTGGTCAAGCATTAATAGATGAAAGCTCTAAAGTTAGTGAGTATTGGTAAGATTTGAACATTGTTTATATTTTTGTGCATTCGAATAAAATAACTGCTATACTTGATATTTATAACATAAAGTGCTCTTTGTAATTATAATTTTTTAGTTACAAAAGTAATTGGACAAATATGAAAACTAATTCTCAGAAACTCCTGCTATTTATGCTATTAAGAGCATCCCGCGAATGTAAAGTTTCTGCTGGCAAACTTTATATAATTTCAATGGAGAACTTTAGTGCAGTGAGTATTGCAGTATTTATGGGAAAAGAAAAATTTACCAGCTTAATAAAAAAGTCCCTTTTGAATTATGAAAACAGTAGATATAATTCATAATTTTTTTGATAACAGCAAGAATCTTTCAAAAATTTAAAGCAAATGAAATTTTTTCTCCAGGTTATCAAGACGTCGTTTTCATACTTAAGCGTTTTGACTTCAGCGCAATAGAAATAATAATTAATAATAATTATTATTTTTCAACTGGTAATAAATAAAAATTGTAAAATTATACTAGAAGAAAGACTCTATTGCACATTAGTGACTCTAATAAAAATTTTAATTAAACATTACATGAAGAAATTAAATTTATTAATCCACTTATACCTCCTTCAATATTTATTCCTGTCGGTTAATATTGAACAAATTTGTCGTTAAAATTAGTTCGAAAACTAAATGAATTCGGCGCTAAAGTCACTTTAAATTCGAAATCAAAATAGACAAGGGTTTGTAAATAAAAGATAGTATTTGTCGCACTTGTAATATAAATTATTTATTGCAATAAAATATAAGTAGGAAAAAAAATTTTCCTACTTCCAGAAGAAAGAAAAGGCCAAAAATTACTCATTGTGTGAGTTTCTCCAAAAATTTCCCTCACCAAATTCACGCATATGCTTCACCACGCCCCCTTTTTCACTAATAGAAACACTCGTCTCATTTTAAAAAAAGGAAACTCCCTCATTTTATGAAACAGTTAATTGGAGAAGGGAAAATTTTAATGATTTCCAAAAAAATTTTCAAGTTACGTAAAATTTTTCCTTCTTCAGTTCTCAGGCCCGGTTAACTCTATTGTATGAACAGGGCATTTTTTGGCGCCACCTACCATCAATATGTCAACTAAATTTGACCCAGCGTAAAAAATTTAGTTACTATATTGGTGGTAGGTGGCGCTAAAAAATGCCGTTTTCATTCAATTAGTTAACCGGGCCTGTTCAGTTCTCATCGACATGGCTTCACGAAAAGTGAGTATTTTCATTATGTCTCTCTCTTTCTCTTATTCTTTCCTTCTTATTCACACATACATACATACAAATTAACCATTTAATCATTTTTTTCAATTTCTCTCTTTTTCTTTTTCCACTTTTTAATTTCTCTTGTCCTTTGTATTATAATATTTGCATGTCGGCGACAATAGGGACGTTAGCTCCCCTGCCGGAACGAGTAGATGCAGGTAGATGCTTTGTTGACGCGAAAACGTCAAGAATCCGTCAAAAGTTGACGTTAACAAAAAAAGTGTTTTAAATACAAAAATATGATAAAGTGAGTATTGGGTTTTGTAGAAAAAGTGTTTATAAATCGTTTATGACCTTATTTGTTACAAATTAATGTAAAATAAGTGATATAAAAGATAAAATATGTGAAAATGTCAAGTGAATGTTTTAGGGGAAAGTGTTGTTGACATGACTTTTTAATGTAAGATAAATAGTGAATAATTGTAATTTTGTTGTTATAAAGTGTAATAATTAATGTAAGATGATGTTTTAATAGTATGAATAATGTATAGCTGAAAATAGCGAAAGACGGTTACCTCCACGCCGTTGATATGTCGCCGCGCATTTTGCACGACAGATGGCGGGAGTGACATTTGTCCATACGTATTTTATCACATGAAAATTAAACAAAAAATACTATTTTTATAGTGCAAGATACTTATAACCTTTTTTTAAATCATTTAAATTCAAAGAAAATAATGATAAATTTAAAGTAAAATGATAAATAATATAACTACTTAATTTATCAATAATTACTTTGTAATTTTGTAATTGATTAAATTAAAAAAAGGTTAAGTCCAGTATACAATCATACAACTTCTAGAATTAATTTAAATAAAAATTATCTTGAAAAGTTGGTTTTCCTATTTCTTGTTTTGAATGTGATAAAACAGAAAGCAGTTTTTTTGTCAATAAATATAAGATTAAAACTCTTTCTGTTTACTAAAAGCAAGAAAGTTGACAGAGAGATTTTTACCATGTATTTCGTGCTGTGTTCGTTAATAGTAATTATTGATAAATTAAGTAGTTATATTATTTATCATTTTACTTTAAATTTATCATTATTTTCTTTGAATTTAAATGATTTAAAAAAAGGTTATAAGTATCTTGCACTATAAAAATAGTATTTTTTGTTTAATTTTCATGTGATAAAATACGTATGGACAAAGTCACTCCCGCCATCTGTCGTGCAAAATGCGCGGCGACATATCAACAGCGTGTAGGTAACCGTCCTTCGCTATTTTCATCATTATTCATACTATTAAAACATCAACTTTCATTAATTATTACACTTTATAACAACAAAATTACAATTTTTCACTATTTATCTTACATTCTTGGCGTTTTCGCGTCAACAAAGCAACAACACGTTCCGCCAGGGGATCCCTATTGTCGCCGACAATCACATATTACCTAATTAATTAATATTAATACATTTATTATCATTTAAAAAAACATTAATTAAATTTTTTTCTTATTTCAGTTGAGGAACAATTATTTCACTGATAACGAACAAGAAAAGAAAAATGAGAAAAAAAGAAAAAAACAAGACGAAGACAGTGACGAGGAGGACTATAACGAAGACGATGACGAGGACAGTGACGAGTACAATGATGATGAGAAAAAAAAATTTAAAAAAAAGACAAAAAAAAAGAAAAGTGAAGCTTATGTAAAAAGAAACGCAAGGATGTATGATCATGGGGAAATATTTATCATTTTAAAATATTTCCTAAAAAAAAACATGGTCAATAATTCAAAGCCACATTTGACTGCCCTTTTAAATGTATGTAAAATTTTTTTATTTACATTTAATTAAAATTATTATTTAATTTTTTAATTAATATTTTCTATTTATGTTTCAGCTACTCAAAGATCGGACAGAAAAATCCATAAAATCATTTTTGGGAAAAAGATTTAAAACTCACTACAAAACGTTCATTAAGGACGCAAAATTAAAAAAGAGTGAAAAAAAGATTTTATTTTTAAAATGCAAAGAGAAATTTGGAAAGTGAAAAAAGAAAATCTTTTTTTCATCTTTTTTTCATCCTTTTTTATTTGTTTCTTTTTTTTGTTTATTTAATTCATTTATTTAAAAAAAACAATTTTTTTATTTAATTTTTTTTGGATTTATTTCTTTAAAATTATTTAGTTTTTGTTTATAATTAATTCAAAATATGAATTTTCTTTTTTTCTTTGATTTCTTTGGTTTGTAAATTAAAAAAAAAATTGTTTATGTATTAGTTTTGTTCTTGCTTTTTTGTTCTTTTTGATTAATTGTTTTTGTATTATATACTTTTATGTTTTAATTAATTGTTTGTAGTAAAAAAAAATTTGTTTAACTACTAAAAAAAAATTTTTTTATTTCCCATTTCATCAATTTCTATTTTTTTTACATTCTTTTCTTTTTTATAAATTATAAAAGATTTTTTCTTTCTTTATTTCTAATATTATTTTCATCAGATCTTTTATTAAAAGAAAATGTCGTAAATTTTTTAATTTATCAAATTATTTTAAATCCTTAATATGAAACGAGTAGATATGCAAATTAGGTAAAGAGAGACATTTTTATTTACATTGCCTTTTAGAGAAAGAACCGGTGCCGGTTCAAACAAAGCTGAAAAATGGTGAAACTGGATAAAAGGAAAATGGTTATTTTGAATAAAAACAAAGGTGGAAATTGGTTAAATTGGATGAAAGGCAAAATTGGAAATTGGTTATATTGGATAAAAAAGCTGGAAATTGGTTAAATTGTATAAAAGGTAAAATTGGAAATTGGTTATATTGAATAAAAACAAAGCTGGAAAATGGTTAAATTGGATAAAAGGCAAAATTGGACATTGATTATATTGGATAGAAGGAAAAATTTGAAAGTTTTGAATAAGGAGACAATTGTAAATTTGTTGTTATTTTCTATAAGAGGCAACATTTGGTAATATTGGATAAAAGAATATTATAAAATTTATTATTAAATGTATAAAACTTGATGTTAAAATTCTAATGTAATATTACTATATTTTAAAATTTTAATTCCTTGATATAAGTAAATTTTATAAAATAAAAGAACAATGTCTAACAAAGGAGAAACTGTTAATTTGACTACTCATGATTTAAATATTGTTGTCACTGAAGGAGCAATGCTAAATAATGATCATATGTATGAATTTCAAAAGCTATTGGGAAGATAATCACATTTTTTTTATAATATGCAAAATACTTTGTGTTTACAAACACTTGATTTGATAGTTCCAATCAAGAAAATTAAGCAGTACTGGAATGACTGGAATTGCCTTTTAAATGAAAAAGATATTCGACTTCAGTAAAATTCGCTTACCCATACATTTGCCAAATGAACAGAATGTTATTATTTGAGAAGAAAAAGATAGTAACGGCATTTCTTTTGATTTAAATAAAAATACAAAACTTCTGGATTATTTTAAACTTAACCAACGAGATAATAATGTTCAAAAGTATTATTATTCAGAAATACCAGAGCATTATACATGGGTAACAAAATCTCTTGAATGGAAACGAAGAATTCGTAAAGGAAAAGTATTGGGAAGAATGTATTCAGTTAATCTACATCAATTGGAGTTATTTCACCTTAGATTATTGTTGCTTACAGTAAAAGGAGCAATTTCTTTTAAAAGTTTGAGAACAGTTAATGGAGTTGTTCATGAATCTTTTACAACTGCTTGTTTGGCATTCGAACTTGTAGAAGATGATAGTGTGTGGATTAGGACAATGAAAGAAGCTGTTTTATGGATGATGCCTCATTCACTTCGCCAATTATTCACATGAATTTTAATTCATTGTCTTCCTGTACATCCGGATTAACTATGGGGACAATTTAAGAGTCAAATGTCAGAAGATTATTCAAAATTTAACGACATTGAAGCTGAACAAAGGGCTTATAGAAATATTAAAACAATGTTATTTAACGAAGGATATAATTATTACATTTCCAATTTGCATCTATGGATGCATTTGCAGCAGGATCGAAATATGATATTATAATTGCTGTTGATTTTCGCAATATATCAGGTTTAAATTGACAACATTTATTAATTGTAAACATAAGTGGAAAATTATAATTACTATTCAACGCCATGTGGATTAAATTGAAGCAGAGAGATTTCCCATTAATATTGTTATCGACTTACATGTCTTGAACTTGGAGTTACTAAAACAAATATTAGTTTATTCTTCGGTCAATTCATGGCACATTGCGGGTTTAGACTTACTCATCAAGACAACTTTTTTTTATGAACTTTTCTCTATTTTCAGCCTTTTCTGATCGAGTCAGGCCTTTTGGGCAATTACCTCTTTCCGTTGGGGAAGTAAATGAGGATTGACTCCAAGAATTAATTTGTCGACAACAACTAAATGAACAACGTGAGAAACCGAAACTCTGAATTCATGAAGCTTTACTCCCATCATCACTAGACTTCAATGATCCCACATAGCACAATAGTATGAGGTAAGGTTATGTTGAGTACTAATCGTAAGGCACATAAGGTTACACAATATTGCTGCGGTAGACCTGAGGTGAACTAAAAACTTCCGCCATGGAGGTAAGGTTACATGTTAGGGTGTGGTGAGTATATATGATAAGGCCATGGTAACCTTACACGTTAAGGTTAAGGTAACCTTACACGTTAATGTTGATGTAACCTTACACGTTAAGGTTGAGGTAACGTTACATGTTAAGGTTGAGGTAAGGTTACATGTCAAGGTTGAGGTAAGGTAATTATTAAGTTGTAAGGTTGAGGTAAGGCTAAGGTAAGGTTGTGATAAATTTACCAGTTATGGAAAATATTGAAAAAATAATTAATAAATAAATATTCAATTAAAAAGTTAGTTTGTTGCTCCTCTCTATTTTGGAAACCTGACATGAAGCAGAAAATTTTGAAAACAAATTTGGGGGGACTGGGATTTGAACCCGGGATCGACGCGCATAAACCTATCATTCTAACTAACTGAGCTAAGTAGAGAACTGGTAGAAGGAAAATTAATATTGCCTTTAAGGAGTTAATCATCTTCTTGGTTCACCTTAAAGGCAACATTAATTTTCCTTCTGCCAGTTCTCTACTTAGCTCAGTTAGTTAGAATGATAGGTTTATGCGCGTCGATCCCGGGTTCGAATCCCAGTCCCCCCAAATTTGTTTTCAAAATTTTCTGCTTCATGTCAGGTTTCCAAAATAGAGAAGAGCAACAAACTAACTTTTTAATTGAATATTTATTTATTAATTATTTTTTTAATATTTTCCATAACTGGTAAATTTATCACAACCTTACCTTAACCTTACCTCAACCTTACAACTTAATAATTACCTTACCTCAACCTTGACATGTAACCTTACCTCAACCTTAACATGTAACGTTACCTCAACCTTAACGTGTAAGGTTACATCAACCTTAACGTGTAAGGTTACCTTAACCTTAACGTGTAAGGTTACCATGGCCTTATCATATATACTCACCACACCCTAACATGTAACCTTACCTCCATGGCGGAAGTTTTTAGTTCACCTCAGGTCTACCGCAGCAATATTGTGTAACCTTATGTGCCTTACGATTAGTACTCAACATAACCTTACCTCATACTATGGTGCTATGTGGGATCTGCATTGCGTATTTACACCTGTAAGCAGTGATATATCAAGTGAATGAAAACAAAAATTAGTGTACTGAAAGAAATAGAACAGCACAATAGACAGTTTTTGCAAGTGATTCTTCTTAAATAAAATTTATGTTCATGACAAATATTTATTATGAGAAATAATTTATACTTCGTCACATTTCTGATTATATTTAATGATTGTATTAAAGTCTAAATCTATTTAAAAATAAATATGCACAATTTACAAAGAAAATTACGATAATTTGAAACTCTTCCACAAACCTAAAAGGAATTAAGGGAGAAGTACGATTTATATATAGATCCTTGAACAAAAAATTATAAAGTTTAAAAAATTTTGTAGCTTGAAGAGAAAGTAATAATTTCAATTCATATCGGTATCTTATTTCAATTTTCGCAGTTGTATGTTAGTTGATCAAACGACTATTGATAAATAAATCTTTGCTAGCTAATGCTGTGAAACTATAGAGTTTCTTGCTGTATTTCAAATAAAGTTTTTAGTGTCGAAGTAAGATAATGGATACAGCGAATACATAAATACGTAATGCTGAAATGACACGCTTAATGCACTTATTTCACCAACTGACTTTAAATTTATTGTAAGTGAATATAATATTTAATAGTTCTTGGTAGTCGATTGAATGTTTCCAACTAATTAATAATTTTATTTTCCAAGGGTGATTTCTGCTTTAAATTTCTCTAAAGCAGATGAAGGATGACTGTAGAGACAGAGGGATCGTTATTTTTGTAACAAATGCAATAAATCTAGATTCCAGTAAGGTTAAAAACAAGTAATCATAGAATTATATTTAAGCAAAATTGTGATCATCAACTACTTTATCAGATAATCTTTAAATTCTAAATACAACACGGTAATTTTAAAATAAGACGTAAACATAATTCTCAATAATACCGTTAAATATTCTCATGGATTTTTTGTTAATCAATACTTTTCAACCAATGACTTTTATTAAATAACATTATCATTTAAATGTCTTTTAATCTTCTTATATTTTTGGTAATCGGGAGTTTGACATTCAGAATATAGAAAAAAAGTAAAACATTACTTTAGATTTATAATTTTTTGGTTGTAATTAAGAAATTGATTTCGAAATTGTTTTTAATTATTTATAGAAAATGGACAACTTGAATAGAATTGATAACTATATAAACATTAACAAATTCTTTACTTCCATTATTGGACTGTGGCCCTATCAGTTATCCAAGGAAAAAATAATTTTACGTCTACTTTGTTACGGAACAATAGCATCATCTCTGATTCCACTTGTAAGTATTATTGTGAAGTATGAATTTTACATAAATAAAACATTCTGCCTAATGTCAAGCAAAATCTGACACTTTCAATAATGGAGAAATTTGAAGAAAAATTAATTTTTCCATCAGAGGTGTGAAGTATGATTTTAAACTAATATAACTAAGTCTAAATTTTCTGCTTACGTCAGTCAAAATCTGACGCTTTCAACAATCAAAATGTTTGAAATTTAAAGAAACAAATTTTGCCGTCAGGTGCCAATTGATTTTATAGCTAATTAATAAACTTTACTCTGGTTCATGACACAAACGACAGCAATCTCAACACCTCTGAGTTGAGTCGCTTGGCAATCGAGGCTTTTCAATTATCATACCGATTAATATTGTGGTTAGTGGTAGTGACGATTTATATCGTCACAGACGTTAATTAATTTTTAAGAATAGATTAATAAACTATGTTAATAAACAAAACCTTCGAGACTCCCTTAATCGTCAGGGGGAATTCTGACTGAACAAGACTTGTGATCAGAAATGCCAACGACGTGACACGACTAGTACTTTACTGACTTGTTTACTGGCTACAACACTCTGATTAGTTACTCCATTTGGATTTCTTCCTAAAAATTCGTTGACGTTGAAAATTAAAGATGATCCCAAAGTCTACACTTTTTCCTTTGATCCTGACTTCATGTGATTATTCGACTACTAATTCGTTGGTTAACACACTTTCATCATGACTAGTGGTTCACTCGGGAACTGTGGCTTCTGACTTATCCTACTAATTAACGATCACGGTTCGGGGACAATTCCGACAGATGACGTGACGATTCACATCGTCACAGTATTATATTATTCAGAAGTTATTTTCCAAACGGAAGAAACATTTAGGGAGCTTCTTTGCTTCAGAGTACATTCTATGTTAAGAGTCATCTTCATAAAGATTTAATTATTTCGGTATATTTCTTATTGGAGATGAGGCTCTAGGTCCCACCTAATGAGGACCCTAATAAAGCCTGTTTGATAAGATTAAAAACTTAACTTTGTTATCTAGTCAATAGCTGCATTTGATGTAAGACATGAGTCTATTATTTTGGTCGAATGCATCCCACCACTAATTACAGCATATAGTGCCTACATTTGTGGTATATCTCTTATGATTAACATGTCTAAGGTATGTGTCTATTACTTTATTTTTTCATTTTACTAATACCTACCCTGTTAGAACGGATATTTAGCGATATTCTATAGACGTCCCAGGTTTATCATCAAATTAGGATAATTCTAAAATGAAGTTCCCGATCTAATTCCTAATTTCCACGGACTAGTCATTAGGATACCTTGAATATCCGGATTTCTGTATAAGGGTTTAGAATATTTAGTATCTTTTACTTTTTTAACTTACAACATTATTAATACAATAATTAATTTTATGTAATTATTTTTGTTAAGATGAAATTACTAACTGATTGCATGAAAAATGATTGGCAATCAAATTACAGTGAATTCGAGTTTGACATTATAAGGAAGTCTGCCGAAAAAGGAAAAAATTTAACATTACTGTTTGCAAGTAGTTTTATTGAATATTTTGATTTATTACAGTATTTGTAGAGAAATGATATGTAGATATATAAACTCAAAAATTTATATAATTCTTAGTATACGTGTACGTAACTGTAGCAGTTTACGTACTGATTCCAATGATGCCACAGTTTCTTGACATTATTTTACCGCTTAATGAGTCAAGACCAAAATTTTACATTTTTCATGCCAACTACATTTTTATGGAAAATAGTAATCACTATTATTTTGTATATGTACATTCAATTCTTGCTACATTATTTACCGTAACAAGTATAATGTCTTTAGACATTAGCTTTATTTTCACTGTTCAACATGCTTGTGGAATGTTTCAACTTTTAGGGTAAGCTAATTTTTAAATATAACAGTTACACCTAAAATTAAAGTTAAACCTTTATCTGTGGTTTTAGATATACTTTTTGTTGTTAGAAATTATTTACCTACGGAATTATCGTCTTCGGTAACTTTGTAGAAATGACGATGTTATAATTTTTGCCTAGTCTTTGTGATTAACTTTGTACCTGTATTCTTCAATCTGTAGCAGATCATTGTAATATTTTACTGGATTGTGGGCATTTTTAAATAGTGCTGTTCGTCGTTTGTTCCCTCCTGGTTGTGCTAACGAAATTAAGCAGTTTTTATTTTAATATGCTTATCCACTGTGTTAATATTGAATTCGTTGGCCTGTGTTCACTCAACACCACCAAAATCCAACTTCAATTCTGGATCGAGACCTTTCATCACTTCGAATTCGCCAAGATGATAATGATGATTTGCAGATTGTTGATCAGTCGCGTCAAAGCTGATCATTTCTTTGGGGTTTGTCAAATAAAAAATGATTGAAACCCCAACACTGTCCTTATCGCATTGATTTCCTAAAAACTGTCGTTGTTGCAGTTGTTGAAGAAGAGTAGTTATTCCAAAGCGTCCTTCACTAATTTCTTAGTATTCTTGTCTCTGTTGCTTAGGATCTAAACTTTCCACGATGACCCTTGGTATTGCAAAAAAGAACAACGCCCCCTATTCCATACACACGTATAGGATCAGCCCTAGGATTAAATCATCTTTAATCCTAGGGCTGATGCCTAAGGATTTCCTGTTTCCGGCCTGCTCACATAGGGTACTGGATCTGAATTATTTCATAAGATTCTTGCTGTTTGCTGATTTTAGTGCCCGCAGGTACTTCCTGTGGAGGCCATCAGCCTTCATCCTCCTTGAAAGATGATCGTGTCCTAGTTGATCAACCATTTCCATAATATTTGCAAGCGTGTTTCCCAAGAAGATCCAGTATGTCTGTGATGGTAGGTAACGGATTTAGATTGTTGACTCTTTGGGAATATTTAGATTGACACGTCTCCCACTAAGACGGGATAATTCCGGAGATGAAATTAAATAAATTATTCAAACGAGTTTTCTGTTCATTATAATATTCACCTACTTTACAAAACAGTTGTGAACCTTATTATTTCAGATATAGATTAAGAATCATTGGAAGTAGAAATTGCAATGCTAATCAGAGTGAAGTTACTGACGATGATGAAGTTAACAAAAAATTGATTGAATGTATTCAGCTGTACAACAATATACTTCAGTTAGTATACATAAAAGTTCATGTGCATTTTCAAGCACATTAAAACAATCTTCAATATTTACAAAGCAAACTTTTGCTATTTGAATTCTTTTACAAATCATTTACATGATGAACTAATACTTTCTAAAATATAGATTTACAGATAATATTGAACTCTGTTTTTCTAATGTGTTTTTAATTATCGTTGGTATTAATATGATACTGATAAGTTTTCAAGGGCTACAAGTGAGTGAACCTTTATTATTATTCATGTATTTACATAGGTCGGTATTTTCCATTTGTATATAGATTCCATACAATTTCTCGAATTGTACACTTCTGTGCATTTATGTCTTCCCTTCGAAAAGACGATAATTTGTGACAAATTATCAAATGTTCATGTTCTTTTATCAACTAGTCTAGTGAACAGCAGAACTCTATTTTGAATTATGCTTTCAATTGTCACAATTAATTAAAACATCATAGAATTTAAAATTAATGCGTTAAATTAATTCCTTTATTGAGGGAAGACATAAACGCACTCGATTGTAGATTTTATAGTACCTGATCCGAATAGGAAGCGACCTTCACCCATCGCCCTTCACAATTGATTTTGATAATGAAATATTATAAACAAAAAAATAAGCAACCCATCTGTTGTCTATACTTTAGGATTCTTACATTCTATTAGTGTATACTTTATGTCGTAAGCAAGTGAGCGAAATACTTTTAAAAAATATTACAACTATCTTAATTAATCATACTCTCGAATATTTTTGTTAACCTATTCGCAATATCTTTGTTTAAATATAAGATTTGATTAAAAAAAATTTCATTTGGTAAGCAAATGGGTGTAGGTCGCTCCCTATTCGGATCTCAGACTATTATGTAAGTTGGAAATTTTTCTTCTTATAGATTGTGCTGAATCTAAATAACATTCCACTGATTTTGAGACTTGGTGCCTTTTTTGCAGGACAAATTATTCATTTATATTATAATACAATTCCTGGCCAAGCATTAATAGATGAAAGCTCTAAAGTTAGTGATTATTGGTAAGATTGAAAAATAGAAATGTTAACACTTTTGTGCTTTTGAACAAACTAACTGATATAATTAATATTTAATACACAAGTGTTCTTTTTAATTACAACAATTTTTTAGTTACCAATGTAATTGGACAAATATGAAAACTAATTCTCGAAAACTCCTGTTATTTATGCTATTAAGAGCCTCCCGCGATTGTAAAGTTTCTGCTGGCAAGCTTTATATAATGTCAATGGAAAACTTTAGTGCAGTAAGTAATGTTAGTTTTTATGGAAAAAGAAAAAATTTAGCAACTGTTAATACAAAGCTCCCTTTTGAATTATGAAGACAGTAGATATAAAGATATAATAAACAAATTTTTTGATAAAATCAAGAATCTTTTACAACAATTTAAAGCAAATGAAATTTTTTTCTCCAGGTTATCAAGACGTCGTTTTCATACTTAAGTGTTTTGACTTCAGCGCAATTAAAATAATAATTAATAATAATTATTATTTTTCAACTGGTAATAAATAAAAATTGTGAAATTATACTAGAAGAAAGACTCTATTGCACATTAGTTTGTTCAATAAAAATTTTAATTCATTATTACATGAAGAAATTAAATTTATTAATCCATCCTTCAATATAAGTACATAGTATTGTCTGATTTCTTGTAGCTGCAAGTCAATATTAAGCTATAATGTTATATTTGGGTAAATATTTTTTTTTTTGCTTAGGGACTTTTGGGAAATCTGCCTACAGATACCTTGGATTCCGCACTCCATGGTTATGTGGGGTTGGTGCAATGAAACAAAAGGAAATATTAAAAAAAAAAAATAAATGTTATAATAAATTTAATAAACTGGCGACCTACTACCAGCCCGACCCACTAAAACCCGTAACCCTTCTTCTGGAGCCCTTTACCCTTCCTCGGAACTGTCGTAAGACTTTAGCCTTCGAGGGTGGCGCTTCAACTCTGTCGCTAATGCGTCCTTCTCCCTTTCTCTGCGATCCTCCTGCGTCCGTAGTTAAAAAAATAATTAAAACTATTACAAAGTCCAAGCGGAATTTACAGCACAACAATAATAAAAAAACAAATTTTTTAAGAAGTGTAAAAAGTCAAAAGATAAAATTGTAAACGGATATAAAAAAGAAAAAAAAAGTAAACACGTATATAATGTTGAAAAGTTAAAACTGTATAAAGAAGAATAGAAAACACAAAACAAATTAAAAAATGTATAAGGACAAATAAATCACAAAATAAATTAATAAAAAACAAACAAACAAATTAAAAACTGTTTAAATCACGCTTTTTGGCGGCCGTCGATATCCTTCCTCGACATAACCGAGGTTACGAAGTTCTCGACTTGCTCCTTATAATACTTCTTATTTGCTTTTAGTTTTTGCTAGAGTCTTCTTCGCCTCCTCAAGGGCCGTCCTGAAGACTCCGCATCCTCCGCTGCCTGCAATATGGGTGGTTGACACCTTATTGCCAAACTTTTCCTTGCTTAAAAAGAAACTTGGGCTCTTTTTACAGTTGGAGAACCTGTGACCGGCTTCACCGCACTTAAAGCACGCAGCCGATCTGTCTACCTTCTGACATTTCGCTCCAATATGACCGTATCCCAAGCATCGATGACACCGGACGACCATTACTCTTTTTTTAATTGGGCAACACATAAAACCAATTTTTATGTGTCCCAATTTGTCCAGCCTGTTCGCCTCTTCCGGGTTGGTGACTACAACCGCGAGGTTCATCCCTCGGAAGTTGGGTCCTAAGACCGTCACTTTCCTGCATCCTGGCTTTCCTATCGCTTTCGACAACACTTGTTGCACCTCGGCTTCTTGGGTTAGGCAATCCAAATCACGGATCTCGAGTGTAACTCTTCGATCCAACGACTGCACCTTACCCATGCTTCCAACCGCTTTGGTGACCTCAGCGGTGAAAGCGCCCTTGTCGGAGCCTCCTCTGATCTGAATCAGAAGGTCTCCCTTCTTTGTAGCTTTTGCTGCTACTATTCTCGTATGGCAGTCGTCCGGGTTGACCTCTTTGCGAAGTTTACCCAGAACGTCAGCATACGTTAATCCTTGACCGACTCGGATTAGAACTGCGGATCTTTTTGACCCCATTCTTTCTATTTGAGGAATCTTTAGATCTGGTACATCCGTTTCCATTGGAGGAGCTTCCACCTTTTTCCTCTTATCGGTTTGGGTTCGAGTCTCCCCTGGACTGTCACCCTCTCGCTTCCGTTTTTGAGCATCTCTTAGGACGCTTTTGAGATTACGCTTATAGGAACGCTCTCTCTTTTCCTTACGGTCCTTGCGGTTACACTTCGCACCGCTGAGAACGCATGCCAAATCGAAGTCTGACTCATCGGCTGCGACATGCTTTACTTTTGCCTCTTTCAACAGGACTTCGATGGCTCTGAGTCCATCTTTTACCGTCCTGTTGACGTTCTTCTAAACGTCGCAAGATTTTATCATCTTTGCGACCTCCAACTCCATTTTGTCGAGGCAAGTCGCCTTCTCCTTTCTGAGCCGCGAGCATATCTCGCGAGTCTCTTCTATCGCCTCGTCGTCTACTTCTGAGTGGATGGCGCTATGTGGGGGTTTTCCGCTACTGCAGCTTGACACACAGAAGGCTCGACGCGCTTCCCTTTCTTATTCTTTCTCCTTCCACGATGTTTTGTGGATCCAATCTTTCCACGATCACCCGTGGGACTGCAAGAAATTGTGCGCCCCCACAATCCGCGCGCACTTGAGCATCAGTCTTGGGACCGATGATGAGATTTCCCGTTTCCGGCCTGCTCACATGGGGTACTTTCTTTGAATTTTGTGAATCCATTCTTTCTTGCTGTTTGGTTGCCCTTTAGTGAAAAGCCCCGCCACCACGGCAAGGTCTACCGAACATATCCATGATGCCAGTCGTGTCTGGCAGCGGGACCACTTTTCCCAGCACATCAAAGAAATCAATGATGTTTGGCAGTGGACCCGCTTCTCCCAGCACATCTAAGACATCAATGATGTTCGGCAGTGGACAACCAGCGGCGGAGATTTAGGTACATATTATAAATATTTTAAACAATATTAAAGTAATTTACCTTTAATATATTATCGACTTACGTGTCTTGAACTTGGAGTCACTGGAATAAATATTAGTTTATTCTTCAGTAAATTTACGGCACAATATTGGTTTAGACTTACTCATCAAGACAACTTTTTTTTATCAACTTTTCTCTATTTTGACAGGAGTCGCAGTCAAGGCAACTAAAAATAAACTCGTAACATAATTGAATAGTTAAATTAAACAAAGTGACTCTTATTTACTCAGGCTTCAATGCACCTCTTCCCGTCAGGTCTCAATCATCACTGCCTTGAGCACTTGATTCCTTCTCCACTACCCTCCCTCACCTTTCCTTCTAACTTTTATTAATACTAGCCTTAGTAAATGAGGATTAACTTTGAGAACACAGATAATATTTTTTCTTTCTTTATCGCATGAAACACTATAGTTGTAATACTTGAATGTATAATACTTGAAATACAAACTCAAGAGGTAATGGCATCATCATATTTTCAACCAATGAGAAGCGTCATCATGGTATTTAAATTAATCACGACCATCATATGGAATTTCAACCAATCGCAACCGCCATCATGGAATATTCAACCAATCACGAACGTCTTGTAATAAATACACTTTTAAAAGAGAAAATAATTGAATTTCAAATAAAATAAATCAAATAGAAAATGTAAACATCAAGAAAATTTTAACAATTGATAAAAGGAATGAACTCAATAAAGAAGAAATATCACAAATAAATGCACAATAAAATAATATATTAAAATTCAGAAAATCGATCGTTTTGACTCGAGTCAATCAAATAATTTACAATTATAACTTATGCCCGCGTTATTAATATACATACATTCAAAAAGACATTCATTCACACAACAAGTCAAGTATTTTATACAAATTTAGGACATACATATAAATTATAAATTAAATCACACAGAAAATATATAGTCAAATGAAATTCAGTGCATGAAAATACTTTCATAAAACAATAAAGAGAGATTCAACAAAATACTCATCGATTTCGACAATGATTGGGAAGATCATCAATGGCGTGGGTCGGGAGAAACAGCGTTGTTGATTTCTGTCGCGAAGTTGAGGTCTCTTTGTTATCCTCCTTTACTTTTGATAAGGATTGGCACGATAATTCAGGCTCGTCTCCAATCTTCCTTTTATTTCTCGCAGATACAGCAAATCACCCGTCTAGTTCTCCTTTATAAATCCACACCCTCGCCATGAAATTTATTCCGCCCATAAATTGCAAATAAACGCCACACTACGTGAAATTACAATAAAAAAATTGAACAAAATTTGAGGTAAACAAAAAAAAACCAATGAACAAAATAAAATTAAAGAAAACTATAAGAAATACGAATCTTGTTTTTACCTCGAGGTCTCAGGCATTGGACTTCGCGTATGGCGCGGAACCTTCCCTTGAGTTCAATAAGCAAATGAGACAGAGAACTAGAGGGACGATCGCTTCATATCGCGGAAATATTCCCCCCAACTCCACCGATTCTCCGAACCCAAAACGATTTTCCCCGAAGCGCGAACCCAAAGACAAAATTCGTACATTCATGGCATCATTTTCGGTTGCCCATCAACAGGAGAGAACTTCCTCGTAATAAAATACATTTCTAAAAATATAAATTTTCTTACATTGCCCCCCTTGCTTTAGATAAAATCTCATTTTGACGAAAGCACATTATTTTTTTTTATCATATAAATTTAAAACTTCAAACCTTCTTACAGATACATTTCTCGAAATTAATATGTAAATACAAGATATATACACTAAATAACACAACAAACAATATACAATCATAATTATTTCAATTAATAAATTACAATTCCTATAATCATTCGTAGTTATATGTATTCACCTATAATTCAAGAATATATATATATATCGATATTGTAATACAAGAACTCATGATTTAAACAGTCAGCCTGTTGCATATCTCCATTTACCTATAAGTATTCAATCTCCGACATGTGTTTTATTTATTTCTAATTTTTGTTTGTTTGTTTTTCTTTTTTTTTTTTTTAAACTTTTCTCTGAAGATATTTCCTTAAATTAGCCTGATTATGTATTCCCATATTTCGATCATTTTTATCATCAAATAACCCATAAGAGTTGTTACCAAGATCTCGCAAAATTCTGTAAGGGCCAAAATATAAATGAAAAAATTTCCGAGTTACTTTTTTTAAAGCATCCGATTGTTTCGGAATATGCAAGAGCACAAGATCTCCCTCATTCAACCTAATTCCGGACGGATTTCTCTGATTCCTTGCGCGATTGTCAAAATTTTTTTTTATATTTTCCCGAGCTAAAAGGATTTTATACTCCTTAGTCATTTCATCGATTCGTGGAAATCTAATAATTTCTTTAATTTGATCAGCGGAATATACTCCAA